ATGAACAGGTTGACAGTCTCCTGTCAGATGTTTATTAGAATATAGTTGTGCCACACGACTGCTTATACTTACGTTCAAAATGGTACGACCATCTCTGTCCACATCGAGAGCTGAAGCTTCTGCGTTGTCGAATGTCCGTTGCAGAGTATTATGGAGCTGAGTCGAAATGTGATGCTGATAAGAGTAACGCCCGGCCATTTTGAGCTTAATGATCTCGTTCCTAATGTTATCAATCGCGCGGAACGCAGGCGACGTCTGCGAGTCAACGAGTCTACTTGTACCGACTACGATTGGACTAATTGAGAATTGGTTCATAGTTGACCAGTTCCTTACCCGAGTGCCAAAGTCGATGGTACGGTACAAAAGCCACGACGGAGGAATAATCTGCATGATAATCTCAAGACTTTGCTCCGAAGTTCGGTAATCCGGACAGTATGAGAAGTGTTGCGTTCGGAAAGTTCGCGTGAACCGAACTATGGACAATGGCTGCCACCGACGCGCAGTGCCGACGGTACGACATTTGCATCTTTGAGGTCTACGACCATGATACATCTTGTTCAGCTGAAGTGGTTGATATGCCGAGGATTCGACATAGACGTGATCCGTACCATAGCCGGACTGTACATGAGGGCTGCGTGTGCCTGGACTCACAGTCAACTTCTCGATGGCCGCGAGAATCTGCTCGGTATTTGCCAAAGTCATTGCCGTGATATGTTCATTTGATTCCTGTGCTGTAACATCCGCATTGTATGCTGTCAAGAGACGTTGAGTGTCTTGTAAGATGCGTTCCGTTCTGGTAGAAGTGGTCGCTAAGTTTCGGTCGATCTCTTCAACGTGAGGTTGCAACCGTGCTGTATTCCTCGCGATCATGTTTGAGCTGCCATCGATTGTTTTCATGAGTGTCAAGGCCTTGCCGACGTCGAGCCGCGTCTGATCTGTGATTACCGCGATGTTTGATGCGAGCTTGCTGTATGCTAGTCAGCACAGTGGTAGTCTCAGGGCCCTGCCGTCAGCTTCTACAGGTTGGATTCCCACTTACAGATTTGCCGCTTCTAGCCATAAAGACAGGGTGCTCTTCTTCTGTTCAAGTCGATCACATATGCTTGCCACCTCTTCTTTCTTACGGACGGAACAAATGGCATCCCAGCCTCGTCGCAACACACCATCATTCTTACCGCCGAGCAGGCCCTCTAGCGTCTTACATAACTCCTCAGCGAGATCAATATACTCGATTAGAGGGGTGTCAAACGTTGAGGACGCTACTGCCGTCGCGAAACCAGGCAAGTGGTGATTCTGGATCTGTTGCGCTATCTCGATCTGCTGACGTAGGTCGGTCTGCAGCTGAACAAAACGCCGCGGTACATTGCGCACATCCGAGCAGAAGCGTTCGAGACAGGATGAAAGGCGCAGAGCTACGTCCACGAACTGGACAATAGCGGCGACGGCGCCCACCACCTCGGCCATTTGAGGTATTGTGATGAGAAGAATGAGTGCCAGCAGCGGGGAATAGGCTCATATGCATAGCCACAGCTGACTTAGCTCGTCCCGAGCGAATAGAATGCATGCATGATCATGTACATGGTGTTGGCGAGGCTGAGCTTCAACCTTGCAACCCGATTGATGAAGGCGATGAGCTCGAGTCACGGTTTCGTCGTGAGTTATATATCAGACATGTTGCATTGAGAGTTGCCGGGCCGTGACTGGTATTTGATGTGAATTGTTCACATCATTGTCGTGGTGAAAGTCAAAGTGAAGGCAAGCGTAGATGAGATGGATGGCAGCTGCTGGACCCTGACGCTAGCAATCGTTCACGGTTAGCGCCACCTTCATCGGAATCGCCTTCCGAGACGGCGCGGCGACAATCGTAAGCTCTTGGTAGCCTAACCGGCTTCTCGAGGCTTCTCATGCTTGCTCAGCTTCGTTATTACACACTGTCGCCTCCGATTTAGCTCTCTAGCATCTTCTTCACTCAGCCTTCCACACATATAACATTCCCACATCTACCACAACCATGGCAGCCAACGAATCGAGCTACACCGAGATGAAGGGCGACTTAGAAGCAATCGGGGCGCATTGCCAGATGGAATACTGCAATGTACTAGACTTCCTGCCGTTCCGCTGCGAGAGTTGTCACGGGTAGGTCCTTACCACATCCAAGGCTACGCGTCCCACGCGTACCTACACAAAACACCCGTGGATACCACCATACTAACACCCACCCCCCAGGAAATTCTGCCTCGACCATCGCACCGAATACGCACACAAATGCCCCAAAGAAGGCGAATGGTCACGCCAAAAAGCCAAAAAGGCCCAAAACACCACGCCATCCGCCCCCAAACCCAGCGTCTACAACCACGACTCACAATGCGCCGACCCCTCCTGCAAGACCTTCATAGACACCGCCCGCGCACAAGGCGTCCACTGCCCGCGCTGTAACAGACGGTACTGCCTCAAACACCGCTTCGAAGAAGACCACTCCTGCTCCACCCTCACACCCCTCGGCGCGCGCCCCCAGAACTACGTCCAAGCACGCACGCAAACCGCTCTCACGCGGCTCAAAGCATGGGCGGAGCAAAAGAAGAAAGATGATGAGAAAAGACGCTCTTCATCCAAGAAAACAGGCGGATTCCTCGGCCTAGGCAAATCCTCCTCCAGCGCCGCATCATCCGCTCAAGCCGAACTCAACGCCCTCAAGCGCGTCGCCAAAGGCGAAGCCAGCATCCCCGCCGAGAAACGCATATACCTCCACGTCGAAGCCTCGGCCGATACAACAAAAGCCAAGTACCCCACGGGGAAATTCTTCTACAATAAAGAATGGACTGTAGGGCGCGTGTTGGATATGGCGGCCAAGGCGCTGCAGGTGCAGAATGTGAATAACCGGGGTGGGGGTGAAGAGGAGAAGTTACGGGTCTTTCATGTGGAGGGCGGGAGGTTGCTGAAGTTTAGTGAGAAGATTGGGGAGCCGTGTCAGAATGGGAATATGATTGTGCTGTTGAGGGGGGTGGGGAGTGGAGAGGCGCCGGATTTGATTGATTTGTAGGTGGGAGGGGGCAGTGGGAGTATTGCATGGCATGGCGTTTCGTGAGTGCGTTTTTTTTGCGCTGGAGATACCCTAGGGCTTATGATGGCATGATTGAATGAATGGATGAGTGATTATACATCTAAAGAGAGCGTACATATCTCGTTGAAGGCGTGACTCAGTATGTCGACTTCCTTTGAGCAAGGAACAACACGTCTACCACAACCACCCACGAACATAGACAGGAGCTCGGTACAATCATTATATTTAGATTTATCCTAATTCGGTACTGATACAGCACTAGGTAGGCGTCGAGCACTTCGAACGCCGGTGCCATCTCCCATCGCATGTAGATGCAGAACCCCAATGTAAACGCCAGTCCAACCCCAACGCTATATCGCATCAACCATGCCCTTGGTATATACCCATCGCCATCTCTGCTTGTGTGCTTGACCAACTCGCGGCATACGGTGAGCACACGTCGGTGTGGTATGCTCGTGACCTTCGTGGGCGCGTCCCAGTCTCCGCGGCGGAGGTGTATCGTTCGCATCCGTAGTGTGGGATGTGTCGTCGCACGACGAGTGCTACTCTGTCTGGATCGGATCTCGCTCGACGTATGTATCGCAGCATATATCCATCTCTTGCCCTCACACGTCATCCATTCAGTCGTCCTCGTGCTCCTTATTACTGCACTTCAACCCATGTATCTTTGTCCCCCAACCAACACTCCCGAGGTTATTCGCGCCATCGGAAATAGCGAGAAATTGATCCATGTTTTCGTCGCCGCTGCAGTCGTAATTGCTGTGGTATCATTAGCTGCCACCCTCCAAAACCCGATACAACACAATAAACTTACTCATAAAACCGGCAGCTCCAGTAATCATCCCTGTCCAACACAGCCTTGACATCGTGTCCGCCTACTAAGATACTTTGCACGCGGCCGTCGATGCTATATCCCTTGCGTTAGCACAACCACTCCCCCAATGATACGCGAAAGTGACAAGTGTGCGCAACATACAGATTATTATCCAGCGAGAGACACTGGTTATTATACGCGTCGACACTGACTTCGCTCAAAAACGAAGGCGCTGCAAAAAGCTGCACTTTGATCTTTGTGCCGCTGATGGTATCGTCGGCTAGTACTGTGCCCGTCCAAGCCAGCAGTACTGCGGACGCGGAAACGAGGCGGCCACTGGGCTTCATATCGGCGGCATGCGATGCGTCCGAGAAGTCGCGCAGCGAGTGGTGAGGGCTCGGTAGTCGGGGTAAAGCGTTCGTGACGGCGTCAAGGGCAGGCGTGCGACGGGCGATGAGGAAAGGATGAAGTCGGTGGTGGATGACGGCGGGTGTGTGGGTCGGGGGTCAGGTGGGCGATGTGGTTGGGCGGAGTGGGAGGGATGCGCCGCCTCCTCATTGCCGTTGTGACCGCACGGACGTTTGGGACGGGATCGTGACTGCCAATCTCCCTATAACTTCTGCATAGCTTGTCTTCACGATGCGGCAACGCGATGCGCGATATATGTCGTCTCGGTGCTAGATAGACTGCGAGCTTGTGCGATTAGACGGTGCGTACATGGCTAAAGGCCGCGTGTGCTACATGGCTAGTTCTCGAGTCCGGCTTCGCGACTTGACGTCACATGCTATTCCACAATGATATTACGCCTACATAGCTAGGACGACTTAGGGCCCGGTCATGTTCACTAGGAAGGGATCGAGGGTCTAGGGCTATCACCCCGATGTCCTTATCGCATGCTGTTTATCGCGAGAACTACAAGGCGGTAAATGTGCAGACATGTCGCAGAGCGTTCGATTCTGAAAATGCGGTTTCGACTACCCCGGTACAATGAGTTCCCGAGGGATTGGAGCAGGAGATCGAGCGGACGGTGTTCGCTGTGAAGACGGTATACGAGTAGTCGTTGCTATCATTTCATTCTATCTTTTATGCAGTCTAAATGACGATCAGGATTACTGACACACCAATCTAAAACACATTCCTCGTACTGGTGACCTCGAAATCTGTAGTCACCATTACATTATCTTTCCCATCTTGCAAGCGTGACCCATCAGTGGTTCCAGTTGGTGTAGGGCTAGCCTTTCGGTCCAGAAAAGTCAACTCCATTTCATCGTCCATAGTGCCGCCCTGAATGTTCGAGCTGTGCCCGTTGAAGTTGATACCTTTGCTACCAATCGTTTTGCCAGAGCCAGCTTGCAGATAGCCTGAGTTGCTGCGGTTGGATGAGGTAGCGGGTGTGGGCTTGATGATGAGTGCCTTTAACGACGGGAGCGAGACGACGATGATGGCTGTGCACATTTCGGCCGTGCACCAAAGGTCTGGGGGCTGTTAGTGGAGGATTGGGGAGGGGAGATGGGAAGGGTGACGTACTGCCGTCGGCGTCGGCGATGTCGTAGTCCATGTTGTAGACGATGAAACGGGCGAGACTGATTGCCATGGTGATGGCGCCTAGAGAGAAGATTCCTACCAGGCCGACCTTTTGTCTTCTACGCAGCTTCAAGCAGTTGAAGATGAAAAATGGCAGGCCGAATACTGGGGACAGCGTTAGCTCATAATTTGGAAGATGAATTTGGACTACTTACGCAGCAGATCGGTGCCAAAGTTGAGTGTCCAGTTGACGACCAAGTTGGAGTATGTGTTCCACGTTGAGTTAAGCTGATTCTCAATAGACCTTTTGAACACAAGATGTTAGCTGAAGAAGGACTCGATCATTGTAAGGACGGAGCACTCGTACCAGTTGTCTGAGATATTCGGTGCGAGGAGAGTGTCGCACAGTATGCTCGCAACAAAGCAGGCGACCACGATCGCAGTAGTGGCATAGACTGCGTAACGAAGACGCCTGAAGCCTTGCGGGATCAACCACCAGTAGAAAGCCACCAGCGAAACTTTGGGGAAGTACAACCCCGTGTCGAAGAAGTATATAGACACGAAGACAACCTAGCAGTAAACACCTGTCAGCTCACTAGTCTTGTTGCGTATCTTGGAGGTCATGTTGTCGACGTACTTTCAGGTATTCGACGGAGTCGCTCCTTGTCTCCTCGTCTAGAGGATGATCAATCAAGATGTAAAGCGCTCTTGTAGAGCAGGCAAACCATCCAAGCGCGCAGATGAAGCCTCCCCATACGAGGTAGTCGGGTAGAGTCAACGAACGGTGCTCCATACAAAGACGGACCCAACATCTTAGGATCGTAACACCCAGTGCCAACACGAGGAGTATTCCCTGGATAACCTGTGGATGTGAGTGAGACTTCAAATCATTCGGACTCGCGTAGTTCTTACGATAGAAGTGACTATCTCCATCGCGGCAACATACACACACACAGTATGTGTGGCCGGTGGAGTTTAAGTTCGCCCCAATGGGAACAAACGGAGAGAAGTGGTGAGTGAGGTCAAGTGCGAACTCTACTTGGGGTTGTTTGACATCTTGACACCTGCATATAGCGGGCAGCGCGAAGCCTAGGGTCAGGGTAGGTTAAAAGGGAGTGGTATGATCCGGCGTCTTGTGCTACAAGTCGGAATCATGAGTCGCATAGTTCCAGGCGGCTGGTAGCGTCTGTCCCGTGCTGATCAGTAGTCGATCAACCGGCTCCGCGGGCACTGCGGGTGAGATGAACCCTTTTTTTCCTTTTGCTTAACGGGGAAGAGAAGCTTCGTTATTCTGCGAATACGAGCTTCGCACTGACGTGACGACGTTGCCGGAACGTCATGAGGTTCTCGCGACGTTTGTACGCGCAAGATAGCTGGCAGATATCAACATGCTTCACTTTCAAAGCGCGGCGTCTCGGACGTGAGCGGGAACATTCCCCGTCCCGTCCATAATCTATCTTAATCTTGCCGCGAGTTGTTCAGTCTCTGTCGTCGGGCAGGCATCATGCATCCACGGAACTGACAGAGGGAGCTGAGCAAACAATGAAACACCAGTACCATACCAACACATCACTAGAAGAAGCCGAAGCAGCTCGAGAACTTCTGAGCCGCGAATCGGGACTCTCGAATGCACAGAGAACGTGGTAAGCTAGGTGCGGGCGCCGTCACGAAGTGCTTAAGTCCATCAGTGTCCTTGGTTGAGCTTGTCGCGGAGCTACCGCACGCTACAGAGTCTTTCTGGGATATCCTCGTGGCTTCTGCCCAGCCGGTCCAGTTTTGCGTTGAGACAGCCTCGTGGCGATGGACGACGCACGCTTGACTCGCTGCAGGGTCAGATAGCAGTCCAACGACTTGGCGATTTCGCGGGGTTGTCTCCGATCAGCATGCAATCCCTCGGAGTGGTCGCGGTTGACTTTCCCTCGACGTCGTCGGTCCGTCTTCACTCATGAAGCGACTGGGAACATGCGCGGGCGTCTGACACGCCGTAGGCTAAATGTCATTATTTTGCGATTGAAGGCGTTCCATAGCCCCATGGTGGATTCCTTGTTTCTCCAAAAGCCCCGACCCTAGATTCCACAATCATCGCGCACTGATCTACAGATCTCTGTGGAGTGGGCGAACGGACCCGCGGAGATGGTCTGGATCTGAGGTCGAGGGTACAGTACCCTTGGCGCAATCAGCGTCTGGCGTCGCAGCCATGCTTCGACCCTCCAGGGGCTATGCGCTAGAGGGGAATGACGCGACACCGGCAAACCTTATACAGTAGGGCCAACTGTGCCACTTTGATATCTGGATCATGTCAATAGGCTTACAGACTTCCAGATAAATGAGCTTGGTATGGAGCGCGAGATTCCTCGGCACAAGATATCTCGGCAAAGTCAAGAACATGATGCGCGACTCTTGATCGCGCCATTCTGGTGAATCGCCGTGAGAGGGGAGCGCAAACTGGTGACGCTCGTATATCCTCCTTGGGGACAAGATAAGATCCAGGTATCGTCGCGATGTAAGAGCAGGATGTGGTAGAAAGCGGTCCAACCCAGCCCGTCACGCAATGCAGGCCATCGCAGCTTCCTAGCTTAAGACGACGACGGGCTGATTTCATCAAGAGGATTCGAGCAGTTCAAAGGTAGCTCTTTTCAACCATGGGAGCCGATAGGAGACGTTCGATGCGATACAGAAAAGATGGCGGTGGTTCTGGTGTCCTGGAGATTATGGACGGCATGGCTTTGGTGATGATGGCACGCACGAAAGACCTGGTCAAAGCTCCTTGCTGAGTAACTGCACCCGTGCACTCGTCCCGATTCATCCCTCCTCAGCGGAAGGGACCATCATAGGGCTTCCAGCATGTACAATGTCACTGAGGCTCCCTTCGCCGATATATCTTCACTGCCTCAGAATTGAGCCGCCCTCGAGACGCCCTTGTTGTGGCTGCGTCACCGCTTCGTTGCTTCCTGCTACTTGGTCCGACCCTCCCGCAATGCCGGTCCCCTTAGCAGCCGCACCGCAATGGTGTATACGACAATAGCAACGAGGCTCGCGCTCGCCCACGTCCCGTAAGACTGAAAATATGTGAGGTCCCTCTGCTTGTAGCCAGCAATTTGCATCGACGTCGTTCGCAAAAGCCCGCTGAGAGAGCCAATGACCAGATAGTCCTTCAGACCAACATTGGCAAGATCCATCTTCAATGCGCGCTGATATGGTGGAATAGAACGCGTTGATGGAGGATGGGTAAGCAATTAACGACTCAGCAGTGGCTTGGAAGGTTCTGATGACTAAATTTTCCGCGGCTATGGCATCTAAACGATCGAGATAAGAGTGGTGGATGTAGGCTTCGGGATATCGGTTCTCCATGCAGGGCTGAGGCACTCCTAGCTTGGCAACCTGAGAACAAAGAAACACCCACCGATCACTTTTCATATCGGCGCTACGGCATGTTGACAATGCTCCCCACGACAAGAGAGAAGTTCACAAACGACGAGCGGCGGAACAGAACGTTGACGCGACATCTATGGCAGCCGAATTGAGAGCATCCCGAAGTTCTCCGCCCACGTGCTGCGTTCACGAACCTAATTCGCTTATACCGCATGCTCATCTCGCACTCCCAGCCAAAGTCCTTCAGAGGCTGCGATGAACGCCCCTTTGCGGCCATGATCCCTGTGTTGGACGGCTTTCCGTGCGCCGGCACCACAGCCCGCCTGCGCCTTTGTCAGGGTCTCGGAAGCCAGTCTTCCACCCGGTAGTAATGAACGCCTGAAATGTCACTTCTAGTGACAAGGCTGGATTAAAGCATGCTGACAAGCAATCAAACATCAATGCCGGGAACACTTTTACCCCGCGCTCCCCTAGCATCCCTCACCACCTGGCAGCGCTTCATCGCAGCCAATACAGCTACATCAATCTCGAACAAAGAGCTTAAGAAACAATGGCGGTGCAGCAAGAAGAGCAGCGATATGCAGACGGCTTTGCTGAGTACGGCAACTTCTATGGCGGACCATCCTTCGAATACCTTGCGCCCCACCCGTCGATATCTCCAACAATAACAGGGAAGGCTGACGAGAATGTCACTTATCTGAACCATACTCACAGAGTCCCGCAACAGCGGCAGGAGACAGCAAGTCCTCCGTTGGCATCTTCCATTACTGGGTCTGGGGCCAGTATCGCTATGCAGCCACTCACAGCCGATGGCATATCTCTCGAGTCTGGCAACGTCTTCTCACCAATGCGCGAAGGACCACTACTATCGCATAACCCTCAAATGGAGCCCTTTTCCGAGCCACCAACCGATGGATCCTCCCGACCTCCAGGAAGCGAAGGCTCGCAAGCTGTTCGGCCACAATTCCCACAACGCGCGTCGAAGTCTTCTCCACCACAGCCTTTACGATTTCTGAGACATGCATCAACAGTCCCTTCTACTCCTCCGATGTCCTGGGGAAGCAGCGATATCACTGAAGATGGTCTGTCAGACAGGATACAATCCATGTATATCGCTTTTGATCATCCTTCGCCTTCCACTTCGACACCACAGCCACTGAAGGTCGTCCATGGCATCTCTGAGCGCGTGAGCACTGGCTACATGGCGAATGGTAATCGCAGCTCTAGTATGGGCTCATCCGTATTGCCAGATATACCTGGCGGTCTAGATCAGTCATCACGAAGAAATATCTCTATATCCACCACGCAAAGTATACAGAGTGAGGCATCCGACATGAGTCTCAGCGATGCTCGAGCTGAGATACTGCGCAGACTGAGCAGGAAGGAGCCGCCATCAGACCGGAAGGGTGCATCTCCTTTCAAGAAGAGCTTCCTACTCAAAAGAGCGGCTACTACGCCAAATCCAGCTAGTAGTCCATCACAAAACGACCTGACCGATATCCTCGAAGAAGCTGCTGCAGAGGGTAGTATTTCACTGGTCAGGGCAGTCATCAGTATGGGAGCTGATCCTATTTATCGATCAACTGGTAAATTGAAGAAGGTGAAGCACGAGGCCTTAGCGAAAGCTACCATGAACGGACGAGCCAGAGTGGTCGACTATCTTTTGAGAGAGGGTGCCACTTACGGAGAGGCAACGAACAGAGAAGACTACACTCCAATGGATCGCGCGCTCTTGGCGGCTGCCTATAAGGGACACGCAGACCTCATCGATTGTCTTGTACATCATGGCGCAAACCCAATGGTCGAGCAATGGCCAAGAGAGATGTATGACGCGCAGCACTATTGGAACGAAGTACAGGTTCGAGTTACGAAGACTAGCTTCCTTGATGGCCTATCGAAATGGAAGAATGTCGATCGCGGTATGAGTACCCTGAAACTCGTCATGCAACATCAGAACTTCGACCCCACAGCTTTCGTTGCCGGGGCATTCGACAACAAGAGCGAAACAAAGAACGCTGGTGTCACAAATCGCCCGTGGCAGACGACGTACGAGTACTCTGTTCTGTCTTGCTTCATCCGTGCCGGATGGGCAGATGCGGTGGAAGAGATGTTGAGCATGAAAGGCATGCCGAGGGACTACGAGAAAGAAGACGATGTTTTGTTGCATCAAGAAAAGCTTACAAGACTCGTATCACCAATTAACGCATTGACGAAAGAAACCTGGGAGAAACGACCGGAAGACGCACTTCGTATACTAAGACTACTGATCGACAGAGGCTTCAATCTATGTCTCACGCAACGGTCAGCCACAGATCTGGGCCCAAGGACAGCGCTCAGCCGTGCGATCTCCGCAGATGCTGCGCAGGCTGTCGAACTCATCTTGCAGACCAAAGGCAGTTTGGTACGAGATGAACTCTCCTTTCGACGAAACAAAAAGGAGACCAAAGCTTTACCACTAGCCACTGCCCTCGCACTGGACTCTCTGGAAACAGCTCGTGTACTCCTCAGAGCAGGCGCACATCCCCGCGACCCAGCTTTCGAAAATATGAATGTACTGCAATTCGCGGCGTACCAAAACAGTCCGACCAACACTACAATGCTCGAAGAGATGATCGGCCTCGCCCCAGAACTAACATACGACGCCTTGAGCTACGCCATAAAGGGCTCCAACAAGGATGCAGTGCGCGTCCTTCTCAACGCCATCTCTGCAGCAGCCCTGCGCGAACAAATCGCTGCTCTACCACCCATATACGACATGCTCCTCCACTGCACTCCCCCCACCAAACCAGAAGTTCAAACCCAGTATCTTGAGCTCATCGACATGGTGATCCAATGGGATGTTGGATATGCGTTGCAGCGACCCAGGCTTTCGGCGATTTTGTCGGCGATTCGCAAAGACAACTACATCGGTATGGAGAAGTTACTCCAGAACGGCGTGGTGGATGGCAGGAGTTTGGTCTTGAACAGCAAGGCGCAGCCGTGCGGCGAGTTGGGAACATGGACTATGCTCGAGTGCTGCGAGTTGACGGATAGGAGTTCGGAGTGGTTGGGTTTGCTGAGGAGTTATGGGGCGCCGCTGTATCATTGATACTTACTGATATCCTGCGTGAAATGCCGAATAGCTGCTTCAACCTCGGGCTTCCGTCCCCATTTCCCCTTGTACTTGCCACCTTGCTGCTTAATCCTCTCTCTCTTCGTTTCAGCAACCCATTCTCCGCGGAACCTCTGTCTGGGCTTTGCTTCTCCGTCTTGTGCCATCTTCCTCTTCGTGCTTCCTTCTCGCCCGTTGACATGTCCTTGGTTGACTGGATTGGCCGCGACCCACTCCTCGAGCTGTGGTCTGAGCTTCGGACCCCAGACAGATTCACCAGCATCCAAATCATCATACGGGATCGCAGCGGTATCCTCCGGAAACGGAGAAGGCTGGAGTACGAAATTGGCTTGCACTTCCCGCTTCAGCGCGGCCATGTGCGAAACGGTACCGCAAGCGACACCTAGATCGTGCGCAAAGCTGCGAACGTAGAAGCCAGAACATACCGTCAATCTAATCCGTGCCGCAGGTGCTGGAGCCGGTTTCTCCTCGCCGGGGAAGGCGAAGTCATGCTGACCCGCATCATACCATTCCAGTAGGTCACACCTCTTCACTTGCATCTCCCTACTTTCCAAAGCGCGAGGCAACTCCTTGCCCTGCCGCACATACTCGCAAGCCTTGATGCCGTTGATCTTCAGCGCAGAGTACACGGGTGGAACTTGCTGAATCGTCCCGAGAAAGTTGGGCAGCTGTTCCTCGACAAGCTGACGAGTCACGTGCGAGGCGTCTGCTCTTGTCTTCATAGTTCCAGTACAGTCGTAGCTGTCGGTACTCATACCGAATAGAATGGTGGTGTCGTAGCTTTTGTCACATGCTAGGTACTGTGAGAGCGATCTTGTGCCACGTCCGATGCCTACGATGAGCACGCCGGAGGCCAGGGGATCGAGCGTGCCGCCATGACCTAGGCGAAATACTTGGTCGGAGGATTTGCTGGTACGTTTGGGCTGGTGTTTGAGGAGTGGCGCAAAGGTAGCGGATGAAGCGAATGTTGACTGGAGTTTGAGAAGTACGTCTGCTGAAGAGACATTCGCAGGCTTCACCACGGCTATGTAGAGTTAGTAACAAGGTGTGGGCGGGAGACGATGAGATCACCTACCGAAAACACCTTCTAGCACTTGCTCGTGTTGCTCCGCGACGGCTTTATCGTTCTCGTCTTCCATGGTGTTGCAGGTCACGTTATGTCGCGTCGTGAACATCCGGTCCTGTTGCGCTAGAGAGAAGAATTGTCTAGATCGCGGGGCTAGCGCGTTCTGAAGTTCGCCCCACCTCACGCCCTACGCCTTGCATGCCTCGCAATATCTAGCAGTCGGCCAGAGACAGCCCGAGGTTCTTTGCGGTGTACTGCATTCGCTTGCTAACCTGGATCTATACGCGATCACTTGGTAAAGGTTGCATCGGTAGCGGCGCCGACTTCGGGCTGACGCCTTCATTCTACATCCAATTCCAGCCATCCTCGTCATCGCCAAAGCAACACTCGCGACTTCTGGAGCCATGGACCATCAACAAGTGAACGACTGGAACTTTCAATCGTGGAATGAAGATACGATTGACCCCTCGTGGTTCGACAACTTCCTCGCTACAGATGTCAGCCAGGATGCGGCTAACGCTGCATCTGATGCTCCTGCCGCATTCAGCATCGACGACGACTTGGCAGTCGACCCAAACTTCCACGACTTTACGTTAGAAGACACATTGCAACCGCTGAGTGGTATGACTTCGCCAAATTATCCATTCGACGCGTACCAGCCGACTGAGTTTCACGAGCGCCCACAGCCGCAGCGTCATCACACACTCCCTCGCCGTCGAAGCAAGTACTTTAAGCGAAGATCAACGGGCACTGTCAGCCCGATGGTGATACCGAGTGGAAGTCCTCGACACGAAGAGGGTCAGTCACTGGCCATTCAGCGCTGGCGGAACTCGCCGCCTGAAGACGAGGCCGCATCTCTGTCGGCCATCTACCATGCCTTGGAGGACAGACCCATAGGCCACTCACCACGTATCAGTCGGCCTTCCAGCGGCGACGCATTCCGCAAGTATCGCGGCCCTTCCTCTACCACCAGTTTGGATAGCGCTGCAAGCGAATCCTCATTACGATCCGCGAATTCGAGCCGCTCCGCCACGTCGCAATCGAAGCGTCGCAGTCAAGCCAAGACAAGAAGCAAAGGAAGAGTCAGGGGCAATATGCTGGACCCGGATCGTATATTCAAGTGTACCTTCTGCTGCGACACCTTCAAGCACAAGTACGACTGGAAGCGACACGAGATATCGCTGCATCTAAACCTCGAAAGCTGGATGTGCACGCCGCACGGAGCTTCCGTGGTGCTACCTCTTACGGGTAGAGTACACTGCGCCTACTGTAGTGCACTGGATCCAACACCCCAGCATCTGCAGAAACACAATCATGCGGCATGCACGGACGGCAATAACAGCCCGCGCATTTTCCACCGCAAAGATCACCTCACACAGCACCTTCGTCTAGTCCACGGACTCGAAACACTACCTCTCATCGACGACTGGAAACTTGAGACTCTGCCAGTAAAATGTCGCTGTGGTATATGCAACACCAATCTAAGTAGCTGGGATGAGAGAGCAGACCACCTCGCCGCACATTTCAAAGAGGGCAAAACCATGGCCGATTGGAAAGGGGATCACGATTTCGAACCAGCTGTCGCTGCCCGTGTCATCAACGCGTTTCCGCCCTACCTACTTGCCGAACAAGCGAAGACCGTTGTACCCTTCTCTGCCACGAACCCCGGATCCATCGACCATACAAAGCAGATGATATCGCAGATTCAACGGGAAGAGTATCAACGGGAAGAAGAACCAGTCCAGGAGTCTCCGAAAGAGGCTACCCAGACTCCAGAACATCAAGCTTTTGAGGACTCTTTGGAGGCTCTGCGAAACCTTTCTACACAGCACGATTACGACTTTGCGAAGGTTTTGACGCGCCATCTTAGTCGATTTGCGAGACAGCAGATGTTGTCGGGTATTATACCGACGGATGAGATGTTTCAACGCGAGTCGCGGAGGTTGCTATACCAAGATGCGGATGATGCGGTGAGGAAGCGAAATGACCCATTATATACCAGACAAATGCTAACATCTACGATAGTGGAACCAAACAGTAGCAGACAACCCGAACTGGTTACAAGACTTTCGCCGTCGCAGTGGGCTTGAAGGAAGCCCTAGTACATGATACCAATGCCTCCTTAGCGCGATACCCAACGATCCCTCTACCTGTTCTTCAAACTCCTCCTATGCCGTATCGCGATCTTGAAATATTGCTATCGCCTTTCATCAGATGGTACCACCTTGCAGAGTCACTAGGTCTTTGAGATAGGACAGATCAATGCTGCTCACCTCCCCGGCTGCCTCGAAGAAGCGCAAGGCGCGATTACCAGTCCAGCTTGGATTCTCGTCGCCTACACCGTTGTCAGCTTATCTGCGATAGCTAAGAGGCCATCCAAGGAAATGATCTTACCAATCCAGTGCCCAGCCTTTGGAATTAACTCAGCGACAACATCATCGCCAACCTGCAACCAAACTTCTTCCAAGAGCGACACAGGCCCAAAGCTCGCCTCACCACCCAATGCCAACAACGGCATCTGCAACCTATGCCCACTGCTAAACACGGAAGTAAAGTACGCTTCATCCTCCCACGCCGCCGCGAAGTATTCCATACCGCTCCTCAGAAATCCCGGCTTCGAGATCTCATTCGTATACCGCTGCAGATGGTCTTCACTCACCGCCGCCGTACCGGCATAACTCGCGTGAAAGAAATACCAGCTCAACATCTGTTTCTCGCGATCTCGAATGAAGAATCCGGCTGCATCGGGCACGGCAAAGAATGCGAGCTGCCAGTTTTGGTACAAGCTAGGACTCTGAACGGTCAAAGGATATCCATATCCTGGGAGAACGTATTCGGCAAGAATAATGGCTTTGACGAGCGAAGAATGTTCGATAGCGAGAGACGTCGCTAGCCCCACACCTTTGTCGTGCGCAAAGACGTATGTGGATGAGATGTTGAGGTAGTCTAGAATGGCTTTGAGATCTGCGCCCGCGGCTGCAGCGGTGTAGTTCTTGGAAGTGGTAATGGACGAGTCGCCACATCCGCGGATGTCTGGGGCGATTACCGTGTCTGCTTCCATATTAGTATTCGATGCTCTCATCAAGTATGGTGTGCGAAGACATGCAGTTTTGCGCTAGGATGGGTCCGATGGTATGCCACGTCAACGAGTGCTGGGGAAAGCCATGCACGAGCAAGACGGGCGGTCCTTCGCCGTGGTATCGAAAGTGGATCGAGACGTCGTCAAGCTGGATGCGCTCGTGTTCCCAGTCATCGAAATTCGATAATTGCGCGAACGCGAACTTTGGTACAGCAAATGCAACAGTGCTAATGATGGTAGTGAGCTTCATACTGGGGGGTAGACAGATCCGCCGTAAATTACCACAATACTGTCAACATGCGCGGCTTTATCTATCCTCACATACCCGCAGTCGTCGATATCATGAAGGCCATACATTGGGTCTCCTACGCCTTCTTGGCTCGAAGCGCTGTTGCTTTACTACTCTTTCCTATTGCGCTACTCGATTGTCTTGGCAGGGCACAAGAAAGCTGACTGAGCTTACACGATGCATCGGACTTAAGCATGTAGCTTAGTAAACGGGATGCGTCGCCAAGTCGGGGCGGGCAAATGTTTGGAAGATGCGCACAGTCGGGGTAACAGTTGTTCAGAATATACGTGCATGAAGTCGTGTGTCTACGCAATACGCACCAGATGCGCTCAGCCAAGGCCGCCCACTCGTCCTACCAAAGATAACCTCACGGGATTTGACAGCTCTGCAATGGCCAACGTGAAGCTCATGAAATAGTACATGATCATTCGTCGAGCCATAAAGAGTATGCGGTTCTGAGTGGTCCAACGAGCCAAGCTCATATTCCAACGCCACTAGCGGTGGCTACAAGTACCATCGCATTTTGGAAGGAGAGTTTCGAAGCTAGAAGTCTACATCATCTCAGAGACCATCTACTTATCAACATCCAGTGGGATGTATGCAGCAAAGTCTTTTTGACCTACACTCACCTACAACCACCAATTAGGGATGAACGAGTACACTGATGTGAATTGGTTGTAATTACTTCCAGCATGAAGTCGGCTTCCGACCGCCAAATCCACTACCAGGCAAGGCTGACGGAGGGGCTGAAAGAGGTGTGATCAGTTCCTTTAGTTTGTCTGTTGAGTTGTCCTTCATGTAAACTTTGAAGTCTTTGACTTGAAGCAACAACAGAGGGAGCCATGGAATCAAAAGCCCCCACCTCCTCCATCTACTCGCAGTCACCATAAACCCTCCGAAGCAAAATCGAGTATCAACAGCTCAGTCATCGTTACTCTTTCGCCCATCGCTTCAAATTATCTTTCACCTGACAATGGCACCCACCACTCTAAGACAATCATGGATCCCAAAGCCTACCGCGCCACGTACACCCGAATGGCAGAACAATCTCGATTCCGAGACACAAATGCGGCTTCACGTCCTCTCATCTGGAGTACAATGCGTTCGTTGACGCATGCGCGGTGCGACAACGTGAATTGAGACGACCTACAAACCCATGGATTGTCTGATCGCCTGGTCAATCTTTTCATCAATCTCCTCCTTGTGTTCAGAGAAATAATCATCGACGAAAGATGCTATTACTTCTTGCGTATAGCACTTCCCTTCTGGGAAACAATACTACGACGGCATCAGTATATCACGCAAAAGGTACCTTTGTAAACTCAAACATAACTTTGCAGCTTTTGTAGCATTAACCACCGCCTCGACTTCTGACGCGCGGGTAGCGAGTGCTTCTGGAACAAACCCCAGAATATACACTGCCGCGACAGTGAAGATGAGGAGTTTGATGGTAAGGAAGACGAGGTCCATCTTAATCCGTCTCGTCTCTTCGTCGGACTCTGCCTGAATCCTTGCGAGTTCACCGTCATTCTTCACGGCCTCGAGGTCCAACTCGAATTGCTGTTCTGGTGTTCGCATGCTGGTAGCTGGAACACGCCATGATAGCTTTGGGGTTGGGGTGGTGGTATGGACCAGGAGGGTATTCTTTTCGTCGAACATGGCTGTGTGTGCTGTGGGTGTATTTACTTGATAAAGTTGGTGATAGACGGAGCAGCTGAGTAGGATTTTAGAAGCGGTGTAAAGGAAAGGGTGATGAGTATAATAATGCAAGAGATTTTATGAAGAAGGTGCGCGGCTGCGCCTCTTGGAAAACCGTGGTTGATGTTCGCACTAAGCCACAGCCCGTACCTTTTAGATACCTAATCACTGTCATTCGCCCGAGTAGATTCTGGCAGCCTAATACGAAATCTGGCTCAAATTCATGGGGCCTGGAGAGCCGAAGTTCTATGGTCGCGCCAAAACGATCTGCTGGTCGCGAGACACACTCCGACTTACTCCCAAATTCCCACCCAGGAAGCCACATACTTAGTATATCTTCGAGCTTCTTAGTCATCGTCGCTATGTTCCAGGTCCGCAGCAATGTAAGGAATTTCGGCGCCCTCATCCACCTGCGACTCCGAGACGTCTACGATCTCCTCTCTCATGGACTCTTCAGACCTGCGATGGCGCTTCAGTTGCACTTGGGCACGCGCGTCCAAGCCAACATACTCTTGAAGTGGATTTGACTCAACAGTATTGGCCATGTGGTAGCTATAGTACTGTTAGTTTGAGACTTCGAGAAAGGGACGTGGTTACCGTACATGAAGCCATGACCCTCCATAGGGTGGAAGTCTTTGACGATGGTGCATCCCGCAGTTGCCGCGACTAGGGCCCTGGCCTCCGCTGCTTTCGCGCTGTTCGCAGGGCCATCTCTTCCTCGGACGATGACCTATCATGATTAGCACTCGGTACGGCGATTAAGTGTAACTTGTATTCTTACAGTCCAGAGATAATGGTCTTTTGGTACCGCAGGCATGATGTTGTGATTGTTGCTGGGATATCTGGCGTCGGGAGCGGCTGAGTAGAGGTAGTTGTTTGTAATCGCGATTTAATTTGCTGTTGGATAGTAGAGTTGAGAACTCAAGATTACTTGGGTAAATTGATATCTTATATCTGGCCGTTTGTGAAGGTGCGGAGCCCGGCGTAGGCAACGAGTATCTTACCTGCCTTTACCTTGCGCTTCTGCGGTGTGACCACGGATGAATCTTTGTTAGCATAGAAGGACGCATAGACGAACGTAATGCGATCGATGACATGTGTCAATCGACGAGCGCATCTTATTTGTTGTTATATGACTCGCCTTGTGCAGCTCGATTGGACTATCTTAAAAGGACATCGTGATGACTACATAAGAGCTTTTGTAGTCGTTGATTGGGGTTGTCGCTCATGGTAGCTGCCCGATCTAGGTCGCTTGCGTAATAAGCAGTCAAGGCAGGGCTGTTCTTGGTCGCACCAATATTTGTTACTAGCTCAAGTGCCAAGGCAAGTGACAAGCCCTGAGATAGGCGAAGTCGGCGATGCGAATAGTGATGAAAAGGAAAAGGGTGTGTCGGTTGCAGTTGCCGTGCCATAAGCCGTTCAGCTACCCCGGATTCGTTGCGCCAACTATGACGCTTCGGTCGATCTTCACCCCGCATGTCGATTTATCCTCCAACACGAACGCTACTAGCCCGTGTCGCATGCACACCGTTGCATCAGCATATTACTACGACTAACTGCCACCGCAATTGACGAATCGCGTGCGAATCTCCGTCGTCGTGAGATGCTGATCTTTACAGCGGGCCGACATTCCTGCACGGTTGTCGGCAACGGCCCTCGGCTATATGGTATGGGTGTGGGCTGGTGTATGTCTTCGTCGCATGACAGTCGTTGAATGATGTACATGGCGCGAGCTACCCCGGTCGATGCTTGGGAGTACGGGCAAGCTTCATATAAGTGGAAGCTTGGGGCCCCGCAGTGTTGCTTGTCGTCTCTTGTCGCTACGCCTTCACATTGATCACATTTTGGCTTGACGCTATCGCATTGCCGAACCGACAATCGCATAGTTCGCTCGACGCGCACGACAATGGCCGACGACCGAAAACCTTCGATCGAGCATATCTCGGATGACAAAATCGCGCCTACTACTCTGGAAGCAGGAAATGGGGTCGTCGATGGGCATCGCAAGCTCGTCCCACCGCCGTTGGTGGCTGCTATGAGTGCCGAGGAAAGGATTGAAGCAGAGAAGAGGATGCGACGGAAGATCGATACGAGATTGTTGCCGATGATTATCCTGATGTATATCATGAGTATGTCTTGGTAGATGGCCGCGAGTGGACAGCACTAATGATGCTCAGATTACCTCGATAGGAACAATATCGCTGCCGTTCGCCTAGCAGGTCTTCAAGACGAGCTGGAGCTCACGAGTGTACAGTATCAAGTATGTGATGCTGAAATCACCAGCAAGTTCGTCACTTACTTGAATAGACCACCGTCTCCATCCTGTTCGTCGGCTATATCCTGATGCAGATCCCGTCAAACCTGTTCCTCAACAAAACTGGAAAACCAGCCATTTACCTCCCGACGTGCATGATCATTTGGGGCATCATATCGGGTGCGACTGCTGCATGCCAGAACTTCGCAGGACTGGTGGTGTGCCGTTTCTTCCTGGGATTCATCGAAGCCGCATACTTCCCAGGATGTCTGTTCTACCTCAGCGCTTGGTATACGAGGAAGGAGCTGGGTCTGAGAACGGCGGTTCTTTACTCTGGGAGTTTGATCTCGGGTGCCTTCGGTGGGCTCATTACCGCGGGGATCACAAGTAATATGGATGGCACGCAGGGCTTGAGAGCGTGGCGTTGGGTGTTCATAATCGAGGTAAGTATCGCACGCGCTGAGCCGGGTGTCTGGGATGTTAGCTGATTCTTCAGGGTATCATTACCGTCGCGATTGCCTTCGGCGCCTTCTGGATCCTACCCAACTTCCCTCGAACAACTTCCTGGCTCACAGAGGAAGAACGCCAACTCGCCGTCTACAGGCTCCAGGAAGACGTCGGTGAAGACGACTGGGTCTCGGCAGAGTCGCAAACCTTCTTCCACGGCCTGAAGCTTGCGTTACTCGATATCAAGACTTGGGTGCTTACAATAATGCTTCTAGCGAACGTATCCTCGGCCAGTGTTACCAACTTCTTCCCAACAGTGGTCAAGACGCTAGGATACCCAAACATCGAGACACTTCTGTTGACAGCGCCACCTTATGTTCTCGCAGTCATCACCACCTACCTCAACGCCTGGCATGCCGACCGCACCGGCGAACGATTCTTCCACATCGTCCTCCCTCTCTGCGTCGGCGTAGCAGCCTTCATCCTTGCCGCCGCTACGACTGCAACAGCACCTCGCTACGTCGCCATGATGCTGATGGTACCTGGTGTATACACTGGATATGTCGTAGCTCTGGCCTGGATCTCCAACTCTTTGCCTCGTCCGCCAGCGAAGAGGGCGGCTGCACTGGCTTTCATCAACGCGATCAGTAATACGAGCTCGATTTATGCAAGCTACATGTATCCTCAGCCAAAGAGTGGTCCGGCGGATTTGACGGTTCCCCTGAGTGTGGATTGCGCAACTGCAGCACTGGCCATTATCATGGCGGTCATTATGCGCATTATACTGGGGCGTCTGAACAAGAAACTTGCTCGTGGAGAACACGTTGAAGGCGCAATCAACGCTGTCCCTGGGGTTGGTGCCGAGAGAGGTTTCAGATTCTTGATCTAGAGACTTGGAAACTGGATATTATAGGGTATTGAGTTGGATATAGAGACAATTAGCAGGATTGTGCATCGATTGGTCCCCCTGTTTTACTTCTTTGCCACCCCCTTCTCCCGTCGCCTCACTGGATGACGACGCGTACAGGTGCTGAGACAACAGTTCCCCTCTTCAAATTGCTTTTCCTTAGTGTCTCAATCAGAACTACTCGTAATACATGTGTAAAGGCTGGTGAGTGGCTAGATGCTGAGTTGGCGAGATACTGGAAGGTTCCATGTCGTCATCGGCCCGAACAAGGCTTAGCGTCTATCGCGAGCTTTGGCCACCCAGGCAGCGCGTCGCGCGACGACTCACCACGTTTTATCGCAGCCCATCCCAGCAGCACATCATCCGTCGAGGATTCAGCAGCACATTCGTACGACACATCACTATCGGCCCGCTTCACCAGAGTTGCCAATACCCCTTTCACTGCCGGGGACCATAGAGTGAACGCCTCGCGATAGCTAGCGTCACACTCTGTTAGCGCTCTGTGCACACACGATGCACCTCCACGCGACCACAGGAACAGCGCCGATTATTCAACGCAGACCTTGATCACTTTCGCGTCGGGAATCGCACAACATTAATCACTTCGATACTGTGTAACTTTCGAAGGACCAATTAATACCATCACTCAAGGCAACCACGCGTTGTCAGCTGACGCCACCCGTATATCTTCTGCAAACTTCAAAAGTCCAACTTGGAGATCAACCTCATTATGGATTTTTCGAACAGTGCCTTTAGGGCCATGCCAAACTCTAAAGTCTCCGACGACACCATGTCTCACGCAAATCTTGTAATGGCATGTCGATGGGGGTGGACGAGCACCCCGGACGAAGGAGCAAACAACCCCTTCGCCTCTTCATCTACCTCGCAACAAATACCCGCCTCTACGTTTAATAACATTCGGACCAAGCGTTTTGCGCCGTGCCAAGGTCGTCTCTATCACCAGCTACTCTGCTCTCACCGTATCCGGACGGACCTTGTCGAGGACTGTGGCGAAAACTGCATCGATCCGTATGGCGATACTGTTGACGCGCCATTCATTTGTAACGAGTGCATCCAAGCAGAAGCAGCGAAGATTTGGGAACAACGGCAAGCGGCGCACAATGCGACCTACCCTCCTATGGGGCAGATGAGCAAGGAGCAGTACGAGCAGTGGTATGCCGAGCACCGACAGCTCGAAGCGGAGTTCTCGCGCGATCAGCGACTGTACGAGTTGGAAATCAAGGCCAAGACGCGACCGAGCAACATTTGCTCTGCGCTGGAAACTAGCAAAGAGGAGATGGACTTTGCGACCGAGCTTGACACACTATCTCTTTCTTTGATGGCGTCGAATAACTCAAACGCTGAGCAAACGCCTTACCAGCCACAAGGGCGTACCCGAACGAGTCTGGCGACAGATCCGGATGAGCAGCTTCATTGGAACTTGAACACGCTTGCTTTGGATCGCGGCGCATGTGGTATTGAGTACTCGCAGCCGAGTAGTGGAGTGTCTCCAACACGGCAACTGGACCCGGAGGAGTTATGGAGGAAGCCACGGAATTGAGAGCTTGCAAAGCAGTGTTGTTGGCGTGTAAGTTGTCGTGTTGATTAGCGATTGCATAAGTTTGGCGTACGGAAAACTCCGCGCATGTGGAAGCGTTTGTGTAGGACTTTCGTGTAAGCAATAAATGTCTTGTCTAGCAACTCTGCTATCTAAATGGACCATCTGTACCGCGTTTTCCAGTGGTGTGCATGAAGCTGCGGAGCGACACGAAGATTGTGGTTCGATGTGGGGCGTAGTGATGTGTCAAAGCATTAGCATGACGCACACTGCCCCTCATGCGAAGATAGCACATATTCTATGGGACGACCGCTTGGCTTTTCATTGATGGGGCGTTCTAGGTCAAAAAGATTGGCTTCCAAACTGCTGTAGTATTTGTTTTGCTAATGATATAAACGTTGTATTTGCAAAATTCTCTATCGAAATCTATTCGGAGCCTTGGCGCAATGGTAGCGCGTTGGTTTTCGGTCAGAAAGCATAAACACCAAAGGTACACCTCACCAATCACCTCTCATCCCAGCACTATCTAACAGTTCATCAGGTTGTGGGTTCGATCCCCATGGGCTTCGTCTTCTTTTTGCCTACCTATGAAGTAGTGCATTGTAGCGGTGGGTGCATGAAGTTTAGAACAAGACGAGGAAAGAATTGATCGACCCCGCCAAGTGATCCCCGCAACCAGGAGTGTGAGTGCGACCTGGCTATGTACCTCGCTGCCTCAACGCCGCGGCTCAGGAGCTGAGAAGGTCTTTTTTTTTTGCATCTTTTTGTGCCTTAAGAGAGCAAGGCTGCTAGACTTTGACGATGCTTGCCTGACGCACTCGTTGCAGCATTACCCCGCAATCGGCCTTCCAACAGCAGATTAACTGCGCAGAGAGCCTCATTCTTGCTAGGTCAAATCTTCATAGTGTTCTACACTACTCTAGCCATCTATACTTTAATAGTTCCTCTACCACTTCTCCAGCATAGGCCTCACATCAACCTCGTTAACCCAGCCCCTTCGTCCTTGAGTGTGTAGCCCCCAGTAAACCTCTGCAATATCTTCACTCCCAATACTCGCCTCTTCCGGTTTTCCCTCAATGTATTTCTTCGTAAGCTCGATGTCGATCACACCATCAATGACCGCGTGCGCGACGTGTACGCCTTGCGGACCGAACTCCTTCGCGAGGCTCGTAGATAGGGCACGTAAAGCAAATTTTCCCGTCGAGAAAGATGACATCTGGGCGTTTGACTTCACGCTGGCCGTGGCGCCCGTGAAGATAAGGGTTGGTGGGTAGGTGCCGCTGGGTGGGTTTGGTTGAACGTGGGTGAGAAGGAGCGGGATTGCGTTTTGGGCGATGTGGAATGCTCCTTTTCTACACGATTGAGATCTGTTAGTATAGTGTACATGTGGACATTGGAATGACATAGACTCCATCCAGGATAACGTACACGCTAACCTCCCACCCCATCCCAAACTCCTCCGTCGTCAACTCCAGAAATGGCTTCCTAGACGGCCTCGCACTTGCGTTAAAGATCATCGCTGCGACAGGCGCCCCGCCATGGACTTCTTTGATCTTCGCGAACGCGTTCTTCACGCTCTCTTCGCTGCTGACGTCCGTGGAAATGCCGATAGCCTCACCACCGGACTTGTTTATTTCTTCAGCGAGGGCATCGAAGTTTGAGGGGTTTCGGGCTAGTAGAACGACGGGGTAGGACTTCGCGAAGCGGCGCGCGAGGGATGCACCGGTGCCTGAGCCGACACCCGCGATAATGGCGATGGGTTTATTGGTCATGGCTGTTGCGCTTTCGATGTCTGTATTGTGAGAGTGGGCTAGTCGCTGTAGATAAGATGGGTCGTCTCGTCTCTGTTTGTAATAAGAAAATATGGATTTGTGTTCCATATGAGCAAGGACAGCTGATGTTATGGAAGGTACGTTGGATAGCTACGCAGCTTCAATGTTTCGTAAGCATCACGATGTGGAAGAAGTTCGAAGTGAAGTCGATCAGTAATCTGGGGTACTCTTTACCTAGGCATCCTACAACATCTTATTGGTAAGCGCTAGCTTCTAAGGTTCAATCCTGTGTACCGTGTTACTCAGCAGAATCCCATCTGGTGTAATGGGTCATTCTGTGGAGTAAAGCGTAAAGCGTGAGGTCCGGAGGAAGTTCAGACCGTTTACGGCCGTAAGTTATTCCCATTCAATCTCCCGAGGTCATGTTAGTCGTATCAGTCGTCGCGTCGTGAGAGGTGTTCGATGGTGTCTACGTCAGTCCCTGACCCCTCCCTGACGATCATCGCCTAGCTGCATGGTAGCGATGGCAGTAGTAGAGATCTAGATACTGGACTTTCTCATGTGTTAGTAGACAGCGGTGTTTGCTGGGCGACTAGACTTGCGATCTGTCTGGTGCATGTCGCAAGTCAACAGCGATGAAGGTGTACCCGGACTTCCGCTCGCACAGCGATGTGGCCTGTGCGTACCTGCCCATGGAGGTACGCGTCCACGCGTCTGCATGCCCCAAACATCAAACATCGCGTCGTCGCGCGCTCTCCAAAACTCGAGGCAAAGAACGCGCAATTTGTCTATATTGCGTACTGTCGGCACCAGCGCAATGAAAAGACTGCACCGTTGTTGCCACCGTGTCGCACAAGGTCCTATCCTCGCAAGGACGCGTCGGTCGATATGACGGATCGACGGATGTCGCAATAGTCATGAACTTTCGACCACTGCAGTCCCCGCTTCTCGCACTGAAATCCGAGGTCACTCGACATAAGCATTCGGGCGCGATCATTAGTCACTATGTACCCATCAGAACGGTTCAAACCTTCTTTATCCCGGTGACTAGCTAGGTATATAGACTGTCATGTTCCTACAGTATCGAGAAATGATACACCACATTCCCAACATTCACATATGGCTTCTTTCGTATACAACAGCGCTTTCCAGTGCTGCGTACCCAACCCACTGACCCCTCGAGGAGAAGGCGAAATACCCACTCCAGAAGAAGAAGCATTAGCTTGCAAGATCAACCGGGCTCTGGCGTCTGGACCCATATCCATCACCAAGAATGCCACCATCGCCGACTGGAGCCACTGGGGCCCCGATCGGAAACTAGTCATACTACGAGAAGGAACAAATCACTGGACAGCTTTCCCTGGAAACGAGAACACGGTTGGAAACGTTCCCATGTGCGCCGACCCCATGGGTCTCCAATGGATTCAAGATGCGTATGCCGCGAAGCCAGCACCTACGAACACTGCGCCAGGTCTCATATACATGTTGTGCGGAGCGAATCAGCACACTACCACGAATCCGGCAGACCGAACGAGCCCGGCTATTCCGATCGGGCCGCACTATATGATCCTGTGGCCGTTTGAAGCGGAACGAGATGGGTTCCCGGATACAATTCGCGACCAGGGTGCCTGGGTCATGTTCGACAAAACGCCGTACGCTCACTTGCACATCTGTGGTACACCCTGGGCGGGGAAGGAGTACGATAGGGAGAAGACGAAGGCGAACTGGGATCTACGTTACGAGGATAGGACTTGATAATGATTTTGTCCCGTTAAACTTTTAAAAAACGAGCGATAAGAGCTGGTCACCGAAGAAGCTAGCCATTTTTGATGAGATCGATGATGATGGAGACGATGTATGCCGTGACGGAGTTGTTGTATTTTTTTTAGCAAAGAGTACCTGAAACAAAGATGGTGCGGTCTGAAAGCTCAGGCATCAGGTCTATATCACAGTCAAGGCAGCGCTACGTCCATCTCGTGCATAATCAACATACTATGCGCACTCATCCACAACTTTGCATTCCCTCAGCCCTTTAGCTTCAATCTTCCTCTTGTAGCTGATGACCGCAGCCTTCTCAAACTTTACCTTCCCCAGGCCCACTTCGCACCAGAGGGAGTGCTCTTGGTTTTCGAAATCGTCAAGTGCGTTATAAACTCCGTCGGTACGTTCTACAGTGGCATACAGGTTTTTTGGATATGTGCCTGTCGTATTTTCGGCCCGGCAGTCATCCATGAATTTGCGGTACTTGCGGTGAAGTTCAGACGCATAGCATGTAGGACAGAGAAAGTTTGGCTCGGCGTGCGTGCATATGTTGACGTCTCTGCAGTTCGGTGCGCATTTTGATGACTCTTTCAGGTGGAGGAAGGAAGCTTGGACGGTGTGGCCGCACATCAAGATGTGGACTGGTAAGCCTTGACAAGGCTCAACGCGCTCTGCGATAAAGTTAGGCGCCATGGTGTTGTTGATGCTCGGCTGGGAAATCTGTGTTCGGTACAGGAAGGGCTTTCTGGTCTGTTGATCGTGAACCCGCACGCGCCACTTAAATCTACCCATTCAACTGCACTGTGAATGTAGCGTAAAGGATTTCTGATACATATCGTCAGGTGACATTGTTACTTTGTTGTACAAAGCGCTGAAGGTCTCATTGACCGACGACAATCTTTCTACATTCGCATGGCAGATGCTGTATCGTAATCTGGATGCCATTGAGACATCATCGTCGGAGGTTTGTCAAAGAGCGAAGGAGGACGCGAAGCGAGCGTGATGGAGTGGCCGCTGCATGGACGCGATTTGACGGGAAAGCTCTTCGGGAAATGAGAGCCTTGACGATCGTGCTTCTTTGCACGCGATAACTAGCAGCGCATGGTCTGTGATGGATATTAGTAGTCCCTCCACTTGCGATGATGGAATCAAAGGATGATGATGGTCGTGCACAGAATCTTGGTAGACGACGGCCAAGGGCCGTGATGCACGTGCGGCGTGCACAGACTAAGCCTATCTCGACTTAGTGGCAGATGGACTTAAGGCTGTCAGCTGGCTGCAGTGAGCCAAGACGTCACTTTCACAGAAACAATATCGAACGCGCAACAGCAAGCACCACCTTCCATCGTGGCTGAGCATCGTACGGTAATTGCATCGGTCTTGTCATCTTGTGCTTCCTGCCTCTACTGATGTACTAGTCACCTTGATTACTATCTCTGCTTGCCATCGACCTGGCGCCAACCAAGGAATTAACGACACTAGTTTAGGAGTCCTGAGTCCTTTCTCATTATCAACCTTGGTGCGCGGACGTGCTGGCCGACATATCTCGGCCATCGTCATGTCAGCTCTTTGCATGCCAAGCTCAGCGGCGAGAGAAGGGCGGAGGAAAACGTCCACTACGCCCTGGTCTCAACACAATATCCATGAGATAGGGTGACGCAAGACATGGCAGTGCAAATTACTGGAGCTCATGTTAATGAGATATAAGAACGGTGTGTTGCGACCGTGAAGAGCATCACACATAGCTTTCGCATCCACGCCAATCGACTCAGCATACATTCTACCATCTCAACGTTCAGAAGATGCCGTTGTCCGCCGTCACATCTGTAGCCTTCGTGGCCCTTCTTCAGATGCTTCCTGCTACGGCACAAAATATGTCATATGGAGCCAACAACTTCTACCGCAGCGACAACGTCACAATGTGGCCGATCACCTTCCCCAGTCTCTACCAGATGACCGTCGCTGGCAACCTCTTTCTACCCGACAACCTCGATCGCACCATCAATGCTTCTGCCATCGTTGTTGGCCACCCAATGGGGGCTGTGAAGGAACAGTCCGCCAACCTGTACGCTACGAAGATGGCTGAGCAGAGTTTCGTCACTATCTCAGTCGACGTTTCGTATTGGGGCGGCAGTGACGGCGAGCCGCGCAATGTCGTCCATCCTGACGTCTACGCCGAGACCTTCAGCGCTGCGGTTGATTACCTAGGCCTCCAGGACTACATCGACCGCGAGCGAATTGGTGCCATTGGCATCTGCGGCAGCGGCTCATTCGTTCTGAGTGCAGCAAAAATTGACCCGCGTATAAAGGCTATCGCAACAGCAAGCATGTACGATATGGGTGCAGTAACCCGCAACGGTCTACAGCGAGCTCAGAGCCTCGAACAACGCAAGCAGGTCATCGCGACCGCGGCGGCGCAGCGCTGGGTCGAAGCCAGTGGTGGAGAGACGGAGTACACCGGCGGAACTCCTCAGGCAGTCACCAACGAGACCGATCCAGTGGGACGCGAGTTCTACGACTTCTATCGCACGTCTCGCGGAGAGTTCACACCTGCAGGATCAGCGCCAAACCTCACCACGTACCCGACGCTTTCCAGCCAGACCAAGTTCATGAACTTCTACCCCTTCAGCGACCTCGATAGCATCTCTCCCCGTCCAGTGATGTTCATCTCCGGCGACATGGCACACTCTCGCGAGTTCAGTCAGGACGCGTACGACGCTGCTGCAGAGCCGAAGGAGCTGATCTGGATTCCGGGCGCCGGACATGTGGACCTGTACGATCGCGTCGACTTGATCCCGTTCAACAGGCTCACCGCGTTCTTCCAGCAGAACCTGGGCGAGTAGATTCGAGAGAAGCTGTTCGGTGCGTGGACAAAGCAGCTTATGATAATATCCGAAGGACCTGTAATAGATAGAGTAGCATCGCAGCAATACAAGGACTCACCCAGAGGTATTCAAAGGATTCCAGATCTTCCACTCGTTCTTTGCAGCAAGCTCGCCCTGATCTGTACCTCGATCGAATCTAGCTTGTTGAGAGAGAGCCTCGGTCTAGCGAACCCGTTTCCATGTGATGATAGCTGTGAAAGAGACGAAACTGGAATATGCGACGCGTTATCTTTCGACTTCGGAGGCCGACCGGTCCGTAAAGTCGCATATAAGAGGTATCGTAATAAAGAGCCAGCACCACGGTACCGCGATGACGCGTTCGACTCTGTCGCGAAACACCTCGTATTTCGTACATCAATGTACAACTCTAATACCTAGCGCCAAACAAGACCACATCCTAATCTGCCTTAAGTGCGCATCTCCCGAGCTCTACTTCGTTGAAAGTTTGTTAAGATAACCTGCTGTCAGGGACATCGTTGGTGATTCGGGCCATTCGGCTAGTCATAACTTCTCTCCAGCGCGGGGCTTACTGACGAAACCGCATTAGCCCGCTCATCCCTTCCTTCTTGCGTTAATCCAAAGGGTCAACAGATGGTAAGCGGAAGAGTGGTAAGCGATTTAAGCATTTGCTTGGTGGCGCTTAAGATGGTGCCAATGTCTTTGCATATTGCTTCGTCTGCAGCCTTGCTTGCTGCTTCTCTGTTTGCGTTGCGACATTGTCTTTTCTGAGAAAACGGGCAGGCGGACGGCAAGATGGCGCTTCCGAACGATGTCGAGGCGTGCGAGAAAGACTTGCAGAGGGTTTCGGTATGAATTCATTCGGCGATGTTCATGATTTGCTTTCTAACACCGTCAACAGAACTCCAAAAACTCTCAGGACTCTCAACACATAGATGCAGCAAGCGATTACGATAATACAGCCGTTCGCGCCCTAGTCTGGAAACAAGACCTTCGCATCATCCCCCTCACAGCAGGAATCTACCTCCTCTGCTTCCTCGACAGATCCAACATCGGCAATGCCAAAACTCTCAATGCCAACGCAGGAGAATCCCTCTTGCAAGAGGCCAACATGACGAACTACCAATACACCATTGCGCTCATGGTCTTCCTCGTCGCTTACGCCGTCTTCGAAGTGCCCAGCAATTATTTCCTGAAGAAATTGAAACCCAGTCGCTGGATTGCTTTTCTCATGTTTGGTTGGGGTGCGTGCACGATTGGGCTGGGTGGCGCGAACAACTATGCGACTGTTACCGCTGTGCGGTTCTTGTTGGGTATGTTTGAAGCGGGATTGTTTCCGGGGTTGGTGTACTATTTGACGTTTTGGTATCGTGCGCAAGAGAGGAGTATGCGTGTTGCTATCATCTTAGCGAGTGCCACGCTCGCCGGTGCGTTTGGTGGTGCGATTGCGTATGGCGTTGGGCATATGAAGCAGGTCCAGGGTCTTTCTGCATGGAGGTGAGTCTTGATGCATAGTCCACATGTGAGGACGGTACTGACTTCTACAAAGATGGCTATTCATCCTCGAAGGCATTCCTTCCTGCGTCTCATCAGTAGCCGTGTGGCTCTTTCTACCCGATTATCCCGAAGAAGCTTCTTGGTTATCGACATCCGATCGCGCACTAGCAGTCGCACGGCTCGAGAAAGAAGGATCAAAAGGCGATGCACCATCACTAAACTGGGAAACCGCAAGAGCAACCCTACTTGATGGCCGACTTTGGGTGCACTACATCATCTACTTCGGTATCTCAGCGCCGTTCAGCTCGCTTTCTCTCTTCACTCCGACGATTACCGCAGGGTTGGGCTACGAGAACCTCCAGGCACAGCTCATGACAGTGCCACCTTACGCCGTCGCATACGTGGTTTCCATCGTCACAGCTTGGTCATCGGACTACTTCAACGCCCGCGCATTGCACTCAGCTGTCCTGGCTACCATTGGAGCAATCGGCTTCCTGGCATCAGCCCTTCTTCCAGCTGAATCCTTCCATGCGCGCTATGGATGTTTAATCGTTGCAGCCAGTGGAGCCTTCTCTTGTATTCCGCCATTGCTAGGATGGCTGAGCAACAACATGCACAGCACCGCTGCTGCAGGGTTGGCCATTGCATTGAACGTCTCTTGGGGAGCTCCAGGTCAGATTGTCGGTGTTTGGATCTACAAGGCGAACGAGAAGGAGCGAGGCTATCCTACGGGCCATTGGACTAACTTTGGAATGTTGGTTATGGTTGCTGTCGGCTGTGTTGGGTTGAGGTTTTACTACCAGTGGCGAAACAAGAGATTGCAACGCTTGGGACCGGATGCAACGGGAATGGACAGGGAGTTCAGTTATTGAAGATAGTATATTATTCGGCAGAGCATGAAAGTCTACTCAGTCGCGGCATAACTGACCAAGATGTCTATCGACCAACTTGACTAAGATCTATGCATGCGACTCAACGCGCTCAACACCATTCTGCTTCTCATACTGCATCGCAGTCTCCGTCAAAGCAGGCTTCAGTGAATCCGCTGCTTCGCGCGTGAACTTGCGTGCAGAAACCTTGTGCTCAAACATGAGATCGAGCTCAGAGTAGGTGAAGCCCTTCGCCTCGGGAAGACGGAAGTATCCCCAAAGGATGAACAGTAGCGCAATGCCAGCCCAGAAGAAGCCACCCTTGGCGCCCCAGTTCCAGTCGTTCTTGCCAACCATCTTTGGCATGATAGTGTTTGTAACGAATACGATGGAGTTGTAGGAAGCACGAGAGAGTGCGACCGTCTTGACACGGAGGCGCGAGGATGGAATTTCGGCGGCGAGAGAGTAGCAGATGGGTCCGAGAGAGAGCTGGTTAGGTTAGCCTTTGGTTTAGTGGCTTGATGAGCAGAGTGACTTACCTGGAAGCAGAAGATCATCAGAATAATCAAAACACCCCCAGCAAGACTGGCGCTCTTGTTGGTCGGTGGTGCAAGGCCGATAAAACCGACGATCATAAGAATGATGAAGATGGCAGTCAATCCAACGAGGTAGATAGGTCGTCGACCAAAGCGTGTCATGATCCACCAGGCAATGAAGCATCCAACGAGACCCAGGCAGTCTTGTCCGATAGTAAGATGGAAAGAATCATCCTGGCTGAGGCCTACACCTTGCATGAACTGGGTTCTGTTCAAGTCAGTATGTTTCATCTGTCGGCCAGTAGTGTAGAGACTTACCCAAAGCCCATGAAGGGAACACCACAAAGAGCTTGAGTGATGAAAGCCATAGCCGAGACTTCAGTGCGGTGAAGATCGCTTCCTTGGAACAAGTGCCAGTAGTTGGTTCCAGAGCCGACTTGCTTCTCGTACTGATCGGTGACGACCATCATCTCCACGTGCGCGTCAAGGTCGAACTCGATGCCTTCTGTGGGTGTCGTAATTGCGCGAATAGCTTGTTTGGCCTCGTCGATGCGACCTTGTCGGACCAACCACCATGGCGATTCTGGTGCAAGGAAGGTAGCCGCGATGATGGGAATGGGCCAGATCCACTGGAGAGCGAAAGGAACGCGGTAGCCCCATTGAGTGGTGTTCTGCATGAGTCCAGTGAGAATGCCAGTGGACAAAAGACCGCCGATGACCCAGCACATGTTGATCCACGAGGTCATGTATCCTCTCAGGTGCATAGGGCAGAGATCCGCAGCATACGAGATTGCAAGTGTCTGGAAGACACCCCATGGAAGACCCTGGATGATACCTCCGACGAGGAACATCTCCAATCCTGTGGAGAAGAACGGGATGAAGATGGCAGCAGTCATGAACAGCATGCTGGCAATCATGGTCTTCTTGTATCCGATCCATTCAGTGATGTAGCCGTTGATGATGAGACCGAGAATGCATCCGACCTATGCGTGTGTTAGACTTCGTTCCGTCGACTTCCTCATCAAGGATCTGCGTACCTGTGTCCCATTGAGGATGATAGTTTGCCATCTCGCAGACACAAGCTTGTTGCCATCCGCATCGACTTCATCGCCGAATCTGTTGCGGAAGGGTTGGAAGGCGAAGAATTTGTTCATGAGACTGGTATCGTATCCCTCCATCACAACGCAAAGCGAAATGACGAAAGAAAAGACGATGGCCTTCCACCAGAACCTCAACGACTGTCGGACGGACATATTGTGCTCATTGTTGATAGCCGCGTTGGTGTCGTCTCCGGTGTTGTGTCCTTGCGTAGAGGTGACCCTTTCGGCGGCCACATGGCCAGTAGTCTTCTCTACTGAAGCCATATCGAATTGAATCCAGAGTGTGCCCGGTATCAAAGATGGGTCTTCGGTGTTGATGGATTGAGAAGATGCAGGTTAACCACAAGTACGGATCTGCGGTCTATATAGTCCCCAACGCTGTGGTATGCATGCCTGACAGACAAACCCATCACAGGAGTCAAATGGCTAGCCCGAGGGCTTGGGAAGCTAGGCCCCGGTAATGACCGAAATGGGGCAAGACCGCGGTGAGTTGCGGGGAAAGACATTCAGGACAAGAGTGCCCATGGGGAGACGAGGCGTCAAGTGCGCAAATGGAGCCAATCAGAACACCGACGAGGTTTGCCCGGGCACCAGATCGCGAGAGAATTTCAAAAAAGCTTTCCTCAAAGTTTTCCGCCGCTAACATCGTCACTTGGCGGACCCGTCCCGGCTCTAGTGTTGCAAAGAAAGCCAGGGCCCAGAAGTAGGACTTGCATCAACCCTTCTCTTCTCATTATACGCTATAACATAAAACATTAGCTCTCATAAGACGACGGAAGAGACGACGGAAGTAACGTAATGCTCTGAGCAGGGCAGGGTCCTCGATTGAGCCTACCAGAATGTTTTTGTTGTTGTTTTGTGAGAACTGCCCGCTGTCAGCCCGAGCGTGTTTCCAACTTCCGATGTCACGCTAGCCGAGGCAATGTGTCTGCACGAGCCATGCAGACCCGCCTCTTAACCCGTGGCGTCGAGTTTTCCACGTGAGGTTTCCGCTCTCATCCTCCTGCATTCCATCCCCAGGTTCTTGCGCAAGCCCGACAAGCTATGCGCAAACCATCCGCCTGCCAAGCGTGCCGGTAAGCATCTTGCACGTTGTCAGTGGAGGCGAGCGACCGCTAATTCGGTTGGAAGTACCCGACGCCGGAAATGCATCTACCCAACAGGCGGGCTCGCAACGGCATGCGAGTATTGCTTGTCACATGGTCTGCAGTGTCTCCAAGGCCCCCCAGAGGGAGGTTACTATGCCAAACGCCGGGCTAGACTTCAAGAACTGAGTCGGGTACATCGCGCTCTCCCAGACCAAGCGGAAGCACTGCCAAATCAAGGTCACGACGATCTGCCACCGACTGCTTTGAGGCAGGCGCTGGTGGAGCTATACTTCGACTACATTCACGACCAGTTTCATTCCATGTATCACAAGGCGTCGTTCATGGACGATGTCGTAAACAATCGAGTACCGTCTATCGTGCTTTTCGCGATATGTGCGCTGGCTGCCAGGTTCTCTACCGACAGCTTCTTCGACGAAACTGATCCGAGAGAAAGAGGCGAGGTCTACCGCAAGGCAAGCGAGAGGTTGTTCAACATGCGCGACCTCACACCTACCACAATTCAAGCATGCGTTTTGCTGGGAGCATACGCTGCCGCGGGTGGTGAGACTGATGTTGAAAACATGTACTACAGCATGGGTGGACGACTTTGTCTGGCCCTCGATCTACCGAATCGACCCGTCACAAGTCTGGTAGAACGCGAAGTCAACATCAGAACTTGGTGGACACTGTGCATGGTAGACGTTTGGTCATCCACTGCAGTGAGACTACCGCGAATCATGCCATTTGACACTGCTGTGCCTCTTCCAATCGATGAGATACCGTTCTCTATGATGAACGACGGGGCTATTCGCGATCAAACGCATGGCATCACCTCACCTCTTCTCGCGGAGATGATCAAGCTCAATCGGATTCTGGCGAGGATCATCGACTTCAATCGACTGTGCGTGTCAGAACACCTTGAAGGCCTACCGCTTGAGAAAGGGATACGCGAACTATCCCGCGATCTCGATATCTGGTTGGAGGAAGTCCCGCACCATATGCGTGACACGCCAGCAAATCTGACAGCCTTCGCATCGCGTGGCCTTGGGCGTATGTTTGTAGCTGTGTATCTCGGCTACTACCACTACGGACTACTCCTGAACTATCAATTCTTGTCATCTTCAATCGAAGCGTCACCCGACTCCGGACGATATGCTGATGCCTGCAAGCAACATGCCGCCCGACTTTGCGCCCTCGTCTACCGCTCACAGTCCACGCCTGGGAGCGAAGTCTTGTATCCGGCAGTTTCGCATATCCTTGTCGTTGCTTCCACCGTTCAGATCCACACCTTGCTCTTTTCTGGTGACGAAAGCCAGATACGCATCTCAAAGACCAGATTGGAACGCAACTTCGAGATACTCCTGCGACTGAAGACCTATTGGCCGAGTGTCGACGGTGCAATGAGTCGTCTTCGGGCGTTCCACCAGACCTGTCTCCGAAGTAAAGAGACCAGCTTTGTGCTTGATCGGTGGCTGTTGCGCTTCCTGGTCCAATTTGCCCCTCATATGGAGCTCGAGCCAAGGGATAACGACCCCGAGTACGAAGCGTTGCTCGCATTGAGCAGGCAATCCCCATTGTCGTGCTATTCAGGCCTGTCCATGTGATCATGCGCGACCAAGATTCTAAGCAGCACGCTGGGAATCCTGGAGAACCAGTACGGCAGCGAAGTGGTTCATTACGGCTCAAGCTGGTGGAGCCGAAATTAGCGTCGCGAAACTTACGAGCTTTCCTGGAGTGTGGAGCCCCAAGAGAGCCAGGGCTTGGCGACAGGGTCCGTCGCTCACGTTTGCGGTCCACTTGAAGTAGTACACTCGTGTAAAAAGAGTCTGAATTGTGCTTCTTTGCTCGAAGCAAGAATCATCTTCGCAATCCAGTCATGGCTCTATCACGCAGCACCATTCTCGTGGTCACGACGCTGCTGGGCAGCGCGACAGCGATCAACAATGGTCTCGCTACTACCCCTCCAATGGGCTGGGTAAGACATTTGCATCTTACTCTTGAATTGTCATTAACAAGATCAGAACAACTGGAACGCTTTTGGATGCGACGTCTCCGAAGATCTACTCCTTACAACCTCCGCACAGATTGTGAGCTTAGGCTTGCGAGACTTGGGTTACAACTATGTCGTACTGGACGACTGTTGGCAGAACCCAAAGGGTCGAGACAAGAAGGGAAAGCTTCAACCGGCTCTCGATAAATTCCCCAATGGCTTGAAGTCCATCTCGGATCATCTCCATAGCCAAAACTTCAAGTTTGGCATGTACAGCAGCGCTGGTGAGATGACATGTGCGAGATTTGGTAAGATAAATCCAATAAACATGCCTCTTGCATCAAACTGACTCAAAATAGAGGGCTCACTAGACCACGAGGTCGACGATGCAGAAAGCTTTGCAAGCTGGGGTGTCGATATGTTGAAGTACGACAGCTGCTACCACATGGGTCGTGTTGGCACACCTTCGGTCTCATTCAACCGCTTCAAAGTCATGTCAGATGCTTTGAAATCAACAGGAAGGAACATTCTCCTCAATCTGTGCAACTGGGGAGAGGATCTTGTCCACACAGTAAGCACCACCTGATACCACACCCAGCGATGTTCAAACACTTATCATTAATAGTGGGGAATGAGTATCTCAAACAGCTGGCGTATCACGGGCGATATCTACGACTCCTTTTCGCGCCCGGATGATCTCTGTGGATGCAACACCGTATCGCCGGGCGACGTCAATTGCGTAGCACCCGGCACACATTGCTCAGTCCTCTTCATTCTCAACAAAGTTGCGCCCTTTGCCGACCGCAGCATCCCCGGTGGATGGAGCGATCTGGACATGCTTGAGGTCGGCCAAGGCGGTATGACTGACGAAGAGTACAAAGCACATTTCGCTCTGTGGGCCGCCATTAAGTCTCCACTATTCCTTGGAAACGACCTGCGCAACATGCCAGCTTCCGCTCTCACCATCATCAACAACCCAGCCATTATTGCGCTGAGCCAAGATCCCCATGGACGTAGCGTAACGCGTGTTCGAAGGGATACGGAAGGCGTAGCGAAAGACGAGTGGGGCATGGGCGAGACGCACGTGTGGGCAGGCCATCTCCAGAACGGCGATGAAGTCGTGATCTTGCTCAACGCTGGTGGAGAAGACATGGAGATGAGCGTCTCCCTCGCCGAGATATTCATCCCGTACGGACCCGGTGGATCAGCCCCACACGTAAAGTACGACTGGGCCATCCACGACCTCTGGGCCCATCGCATGCCCGAAGCAACGGCTGAAGAGCTCCTCGCAGCAGCCTCGCACACGGAGAGAGAATCGATCTTGTCAAAGGCCAATTGGTACAACGCCACCGAGACCCCTTACGCCAAGGGTCTTGCTCAAGAGGACCCGCGACTGTTTGGCGAGAAGATCGGCGTTGTTGAGGCTGGCGGTAGGCTCAAGGCAGACGTCAAGAGTCACGCTGCTCGCGTCTTCCGACTGAGACGAATCGCGCCAGAGGACGATCAGTTCGAGGCGAAGAGTATTGCGAGAGAAGACGGTAACGAGAGGGATGAATTGTAATGACGAAGCGATTACTAAGGTAGATTTGGTGGGACAAGAGTTAGCCTACCTTGATGGAAAACGGAAAGGGACATAGGTTCTCAGAGTTGCGATACTTCTCACTCGCGATAAATCGTGTGAGTTGTGGAAGGTATGGTTGGCTCGTTATCTCCAGGTCATCATAGTACCATGGGATGGAGTGGATGGAACCAGAGAATCAACTTCTGGATTTTTCGAATATATAGCGATCTCGCTTTTCCTCCCTCCTACACATCTTAACCCTTACATAGGCTGTCTCTGCGCTCTTTATCACACACAGCAATCAAATCTACACCAGACGCAGCCATGACCAAAAACGCAAAGGCCACGTCCCCAGCTCAAGCTACTTCCGCAACCCAGACGACATCATGGGAATGGTCAGCTCCATACTTCGTTAAGCGAGCGCAGGAAGTTCAGGCCAGATTAGATCTCCAACGGCAGACTATGAATAATCTTCAGGACAAGTATAAGAACCTTCAGGATCAGAACAAAAGCCTTCAGGACCAGAATGAGAACCAGAAGAAGGATTACGAACGCGAGATGAACGGGTGTTACGGGTCGTTTGTGGTCGTTGTGCTCCTCTTCGCCGCCGTCATAATATGTGGCTTTCTGCCATCTTCTTCGCCCGAACGCTGTTCATATGCGCTAGGGGCGAAAGCAGTCCAGATGACAGCCACGCCTACTACGGTCACGGTCACGCTACCCGTAGCCGCGCCTACTACAGTCACAGTCACGCTACCCGTAGCAACCAACGCCGTGCCGACTATCAAAGCCGCCTCATCAACCGATGCTCCAACATCAACTGGTCCGGCAAGTGTTATCCCCAAGTCGTACTTTTCACACAAGACTGCAGTATACTAACGCCTTTAATAGTTCTGGTCTACCCTGACTCGCGAACAAATAAGATCCGTCGTCCACGATTATCGCAAGATTCAAGACCGATATCTATACAACAATAGGGTTGAGCAACAGGAAGAAGAGGCGAAACAGAAAGAAAGAAATGCGAAGTGGGCAGCCGACTTCAAACAAAGTCTTGCGCAGGTGCAGGAGAGACTGAAACAAATAGACCAACGCAGGGAAGAAGCCCGGAAACAAGCCCAGAAACAGGCTGAAGAACAAGCTCGGCGCAAGCGGTAGCTGTCCGGATTCCGAGGGTGAATGGGATGAGAACACCATCTCCAACACACACTGGGTAGATTGTTGACTTGGATCTCTATGAGCAGCGTGACTCTACGGGGTTCGTTTGCCCTCAGGATGGAGTCCTGATGGCTCAGAACTGGTCTCGAGAGCTCGAGAGGACAGACGTTGGTGTCAACGTCGTCGTGGAACAACGCCAGAGCCAGACATCTACAAAGAAGCTAGAGCCCCGCATTCTGTATTGCACAAGTGAGATATAAGTAGACGTGATAGTTTACTCGATGCAACTGTACGACAGCAGTGCTGTAAATGCTCCGAGGGTTGGCCTTGCTAAGTGTCCCCACTCGTTTCCCCAGCATCGTATGCCTCGAGATCATTCCTACACTTGCCCAGCTTGCACGATATCTCGCTTTATAGTCTACACAAAGTAACTTCGTAACAGCGAGACTAGACAAACAATACCACGGATTCTCTTCGGTAATATTCCATTGATATTAACTGTATGTTCAAATCTATACCTACATTCATCATCTCCATCTCCATCATAAAGACGCTCCCATCTTCCCCAGCATACTACCTTGGGCCGATCAGCTGCCCTATTCTGCCAAGTTACCGCATGGATAACTTGAAAGAGCGCGAGCCATCAAGGGCAGAAGACCTTTACACAGCAGAGATCGGTCAGACGGTGCAACACTATGAACTATTAGAGAAACGCGGTCAAGTTGATCATGGCGAGATGGTCCGCCGTAGACCCGGTTCACTACCCAACTATTCTGGGCGTGAGCCAAAACGACAGTAAGAGTGAGGACGTAGAGGCTGTAGTCAGCATGGTAAACACCATGCAGACCAGCTGGATCGGCCTGTCCTCTTAGGTCCAAGCCTACATCAAGGGAGAGACCGATTGGCACGATCTTCAAGCACATATCAACAACCTCAACCGCTTTCGACTCATGCTCAAGATACCACAGCAAAATGAGACTGCCTTGCAGAGGACCGACCGCCGAGCTCTGCAGCGCGCCTACAAGAAAGCGGTCAGGATCCATATCGAGCACACCCAGACGGGTGATCTCCAAGCCTACATCAATAACCCGAGCAGTATGAGTGCGAAGTTGGAATGACTGAGCTCGGAGCCTACAATACGATTAGATCTTAGCGAATGAGATTCCTCAAGAGAGGCGGAGGCCTACGAGCGGATGCCTAGAGACTAACTGAATAACATTGAAGACCTAGAGAAATACGATGCGGTTGGTGAGTAACAGAATGATATCCCAAAGTGGACTCTGGCTACTACAAAACCACCTACGTTGTTCAGAGCCCGCAACAGGCAAAAGCCGGGAGGCTCGAGCATACGATCAAGAAGGTTGTCGACACTGTCAATACTATGCCGACAGGCAAGATGTCAGATCTGAACGAGCGAGACCCTGCGAGAGCAGCCAACGAGTAGCAGAACCTCCCAGGAAATCAGCCCAACAGCAACAAGGTCCAGCGGAACATGATGAAGCTTGTTATGGCTAGATATTCCCAAGTCGATCCAATCCACTACACCACAATCCTCGGAGGCCCGCAGGCGAATGCCGGACACCTCGAGAATGTGATCAAGAAATCTGTCGACACCATCACCACCAACTGGATTGAACTCCCTCGTGGCTTCAAGCTTTTATCGAGGGCGAGACATGCTGGTCGGACTATCAAGTTATCATTAACAACCTCCACCGCATGTCAAAGCTCTTGAAGCTGATCCCGGAGGGCGAGACGCCTGAGAATCGCGCATTACACCTCACGCGCCGCGAAGCGAGCAAGAAAGCTCTGCGCGCCCATCAAGAACACGTCCGCCTGGGAGTAGAGGCAGAAATCCAGACTGTAGAAGATGCGTTGGAAGACTTGTCGGCAAAGGACGGCGTGACACAAGTTGAACTCCAAGGCGCTCGGGACGAGCTCGCTTCCCTCCGCGGCCATCGAGAAGGCATCATTCCCACAACTTGCAACGTAGTCCGCACGATCACAGACGCTGGAGAGAAAGGCATCATGTATTGTGCTCTCTCGGAGGACGAGCAGGTCGCCTTCTGGGATGCGCGCTGGACTGAAGATGTCTTTGTCAGCTATCTGTGGGAGTTCTCCGGGTCTTGCACTTTGGGTACGTTCATTGTTTATGAGATTGGATATCGACCAACTCTGCTTGGTGAGGCAGCGGCGGGGGGCGCCGCTCCCTCCGCTGAGCGCTGAGCGTACAACCCTGGAAAGAAGCGATCTGAACTCACATAGGCATAACCACCCAGACGCGGCAGTGGAGCTTGGTCGCGCCGAAGCAGCACTGGAAACTGTCCCGACGCTCAGAGACGGTATCACTCAAGTCGAATGGGATGACGCCGTACTGCGTAGCACGTACAGCAAGAGGTTCGTATGGCTGGCGGACCTCGTGTCCCAGTATATCCTACCTCTGAAGGCGACAGCAGTGTGTCTGAGCTCGGCGACCAAGTCTCTCGTTCGAAGCTCGCTTGACTTCCCCGACAACAAGGCTCTCGCGTATGCAGAGTTTAAGCGCGCTGATTCGATCCTCTACCCTCCAGAACACGTTAGGTGTAATCGGACTTTTATGAGACGAGCGCGGATACAAAAAGACTTCCCGATGCAATCTCCACCGCTTCCCCATAGCCTCACCTACCCTCCCCCCCTCATGTTAGAAAAGACATTAGGCTAGGCAGAGCGTCAAGCAAACATGGTCGTTCACAACACCCACTCTACCAATTCCATCTAGCCCGCCAAATTTCGCGGTGTACCACCTCCCCGTCCCCCGTCATATCACCGCCACCTGCACCAACTCCTCTACCACCTCCTCTACCATGCCACTCCTGCGTGCATCCATTCAGGTCCCCGAAGAACGCAACACCGCGTACGCCGAGTACAGGCGCGCGGATAAAGACCTCGACATTGTCGCTGGCGACTTCCAGACACTATAGGTCCAAGACTCCCAAAACCACAACCAGAGGACCAGGAAGCGGGCCCGTGATGACGCAGAGGCGGAAGATATGGTGCGTCCCGCTCCGGGGGATGGAGGTTGGTTTAGAGATGGGCTTGTGTCTAGTCGTGTTGGTTGTTAGTAGGGCTTTATATGAGTCTTAAGTTCTTGGTGGAGGGGAATTGGGCTTGAGTTGAGGCGCAAATAGGTAAGGAGGGATGGAGGGATGGAGAGAAGTTGTCTTTTACTGCATTTTGACTTTTTCGTTGGATCGACGCTGTTTGTTCTACGGTATCGAAGCACCGGAGTTAAATATTTTGGGGAGATACCTTAGGGAACGACCCTGGGGAAGCACCTTGACGAACCACCTCCATGAGCCACCTTCTTATAAGGTACTCACCAGGGTCTTCCTGCGGGTGGTTCCTGCGGGTGGTTCGCTACCTAGGTTGCTTCCCTGGATCACTCCGCTGGGTTGCCTCCCCAAGTTGCTTCCCCAAGTTACTTCCCCAAGGTGCTCCCCCAGGGTGCTAGTGGTGTTTGCGCGGTAACTAAGAAAGTGTTGCTACCTAACACGCTGGCTGCAAGTTCGCAGGTGGGTTCCAAGAGAGAATCAATATCAAGCATAACTAGCACCTTCCGTGTGCAGAGAGCCTCCGAATTAATTACCCAGAGGCCGACATCTCACTAGTGAAGTCTCCAGGCGGAAGGCTCAGGCAAGCTGGGAGCCTACAAAGGCTTGGTGACGCCTTGTATCGTTTATTTCGTCAGGCCGAGAGGACGACGTAGCCCTCAGGTTCTCTCACAAGATTAAGTTCAAGTAAGTGCGCAGCCGACAACGCCTTAGTGGCACTCTGTCACTTTTCTGACCCCACATCCTGGAAGCGATGTAGCACTCACCAAAGAAGTACAGGCTTCCTCCCATTCGTCAACCCCTTCCGACCATGATATCGGTCATGGCTTCAGTGTTCACTACTCTCAACATCACTCGACGCTCGCCCTATCTCCGAGCCCTTCACCATTCAGGGCAAGCTCGTGGCAACATGAGGTAGCCTTGACCGTCGTGGGTGGGGTGAGGGGGCAAGGTACAAGAGGGCAATCGCCGTTTTTGTACTTCCTTGGCTGGAAAGGACATCCATGATCTTCCGAAGACTTGGGGGTTTCTGCAGAGTTATTTAACTGCAACGAAACCGTTTGTCGTACTTGCTTACTGCGACAAGGTTAGCTAGGTTGCGGCACAATCATTCAAGGGCGCACTGTATGCTCGTCGCGAGGCAATAGCATCTTGTATATCCCCACTCAGCGCTATCGTCGCCTTCACGAACCCTCACGAAGTTCTGACTTACGTCGGGTTCAGTCGAAGTCTTCTCCCGCCGCATTAGCTACTCGCCGTAGCTTGGTTGGTCGGTCGCACTTCACAACACCCCTCGCGACAAAGGACTTGGGCCGGATCTACCAAATTACTTCCCGGACGAGCTCACGCTATCTGGCGCTATACAAGACTCGTCCTGCTGCGACTTGCACCCTCATCTCGCTGACCTATTGCTGAGCCGCCGCCATCAATAGCGAGATACAATGTCGTCGCGCTCTTTGCCTTTGAGGGTCACAGCGGCCATGTGCTCGATGCGTAAGTCTTTCAGCTTCTTGGCTTCGTCTTCCTTTTGCTGAGTGACCAAGTCGAACTGTTCACGAAGCTCACCCATTTCATCATCATCAGTGACGTCTTCGCCGCCTTCTTCTTGCTAGCTGCCCCCTCGACTCGCAACTTGGTGAGAGTGTGGCGGAACGCCTCCTCCGTCAGATTTGCCATCTGGTTTTTCAGGTGCTTGCTCACACCGTCTTGGTGCAACGCCAACTTGACCCTGGTCTTTTTCTTGTTGCTGGAGATCTGATTTTCGTAGGCCTTGATGGAGTTTGGTGACTCATACGTCCATACAGTGACCTCTCGGTGCTGCCCAATCCTGTTCACTCGGGCGGTCGTCTGCGCGTTAGCAGGACAGGATACGTACGACCTCGTTCGCGACTACCCAGCAGCTATGTCGGAGGACTCTTTCACTCAGGCGGCAGCCTGTACCCTGGCGGCGGTGGTTTCTGGCTAGATGCGCCAGGTAGGGGACTGGGATCTGTGCTGCCTGGGTGAGTATGAGGCCTCGGCCGCCACCAGACGCTTCTGGTACACGCAGCTGAATCTGGAGATGCTCATGAGAGTTGGCATGGCCGTCGCATCTACAACGAGACTCAGCTTCGGTCAGCCTCTCCATCTTCCTCCTCAACCGCTCACTCACCCCCCTCTGCTTCACCTGGGCAAGGTCAAGACGGCCTTCTTCTTCTTCCTCTCCCGTTCTTTGTCAATGTAGCGCTCAATTGAGTTGTGAGCATAGAACGTCCAGACAGTTACCTGACGGTTCTGACCTGTCCGGTTGATCCTTGAGGCGGCCTGGGCATCGATGGCAGGGTTTCACCTTGGGGTCAGGATGAACATATTTGTAGCCTCTACCAGGGTCAAGCCCAAACCAAAGCACTCAATGGTCGCCAACATGACCCTGACTTCGTCTTTGGGGTCGTGGAATCGCTCGCGCACAGCGTCCCTCTCCTTCAAGCTCATGTGGCCGTTGAACTCGAGGAACTCGATGCCCGTTGCTCTTAAGGCGTTGGACACAACGTCCAGAGTCTGGATAAATTCATCAGTGATGATGATTTTCCCCTCGCTCTTGGACTCGTGCAGGGAGAGAATCTGCTCGATCAGCTTGTCAACCCGTGTGGAGTGCCAATCCTTCTCTGTCTCCTTCAGCAGTTGCTTGCGGGACTCTTTCGCGGTCATGTCGATGTAAGCCTCCTCTTTGGTAAGGCTCTCCCACTCCTCCAAGTCGAGACCCAGACCACTATAGTCTTGGGCTCCCTGGTCTCCATACATGAATTCACCGCATCTTGGGTGGACAGTCTTCATCCTTGCCTTTAGGATCTTCGGCAGAGCACGCTTTCTCATCATCTTTTCTGAGGCTCTACCTCTCGCACCCTCCTTCCTATCCCAGAGTTGCTTGGTGTCCTTCTGATGAACAGACTCTTCAGGGGGGAGTGTCATCGGGGTATGGTTTTCGATAGCTCGCGAGAACTCGACCAACTGCTTCCCATCGAAGGTGTCGTCGATCCTCAGAGGGAAGACGCAAGCCCTCAGACTAGTCGAGAGAATCGCGCTGCGTTCTCCCTTCAACGTGCGTGCCTTAGACTTCTTCGGCCTCTTCGACACGAAGTATTCGTTGAATACCTTCCGATCATTCCATGGCTTAATTTCCAGCCACTTCAACAAGGTCTAGACTTCGTCGTAATCGTTTACTAGTGGCGTGCCGGTGAGACCCAGGCGCTTCGGCGTCTTGAGGGCGCACACCGCTTGCGAGGTCTGCAAGCGTGACCGGCTCGCCTTGCTGATCTGATCAGCGATGACTGCCGCGTATCCCAAGACCATCGATCCCCTGCCTCCCGTACCGCACTACCATCTCCTCCCAATCAAGTGTCCGGTCGCACCCAACCGCAAGATGGACGATCTCAACGAACGCCAGGCTCTGAGAGCATCAGTAGAGTGGCAAACGCTCTAGTCTAATCGGCCGTACGATCACACATCCAGAAGCCGGAAGGAGAGATTCTGCTGTCACACTTCGCACTGTCCGACCAAACTCCATCAAGGAGGCTACATGCAGCGCTGACATGTCTTGGTGCGTCGGCGCAGGGGATCGCGAAGACGACGTTGCCTCTACACAAGGAGGATATGAGCTCCTCGCGCTATGCTGCGCACGATTGTTTTGTATCTTGTCTCTGTTGGTGGGGTTGCAAGCGCTCTTGCGAGACGGCTTGTGAGTGGGTATGTAGAGGCGTGAACACGGTTTTGTACGATGTTGGTGGGAGATGACATGTCTGTGTGGTGCGCGTGTATTGCCCTATAAGAGTGCTCCGAGGAAAGAACGTGTCTGCTCAAGGCCGGTGTGGTAGATAGTTCGGATGCGCTGCATGTGGTATGTCTGCTTTACACTGCGGTAGTGGAATCCATTACACTGGATCCCGCCTGGTCGTCACCACCTCGACTCATTGATAGTCTCAATCATACTCTTGAACTCCATCCTGTTCTCGGGGAAGTACCGGGGAATACTCGTAGAGGAAGACGAAAAGACGTCGAGGCCTCCCTGCTTCGCTCTCGCGTCGCGCGGCGAGAGCGATAGAGTCACCGTCGTCTCCCGGCAGACGCTTCACCCTACTTCTGTAGGCTTTCGAGCTCCTTTCTGGCACTGTCCCACATTTTTGATGTAGCCCTCATTCTCTCCTGGTGTTCCTTTGGCATGAAGAGGTCTGTGAACGACCTCTGAATCCCAGCCTCCACCTCGCCAGCTCCATCTGCACCCCCCTCGCCGGCTGCACCTCAATCGACCTCGCTCACTACGCTCTCGTCAACCTTGCTCTCCTCATCTTCATCACCATGAAGATATTTCTTCTGGAGTCGCAGCTCCTCTGCTCGTCTATCTCTCTCCATCTCTGCGGCGATTTCTTTGCGCGAGTTGTCCTTGGCGAATCTCCACTAACCCCAGAAGCCGGAAACGCTGACCGTTGGTCCCAAAGTGCTCCCATACTCCGCAATGTCGCGTAGTACTTACCCGAAGACGATGTTTGGACTTACGTCGGATGGCGCATGTTTCAGGCTTTTGCGGACACGAAGGTCCTTGCCGACCCGTTCGAGATACTTGCTTGAGAGTACCCCGCCCCTCATCCATGATCGGATGATGGAGTTGACGTCGATGAGCTTGAATTTTTTGTTGGGCGAGCTCGTGATCTCACTGATCGTGGCGCCTCTCTTCTTGGTGACGCCAGCGACGTCCATCTCTCCGAATGCGTTCATCCATTCTTGCTTGATAGCTTCCTTTCTCTTGCCTTTTGAGATACTGGCCCAGTTGTCATCGAAGACAATCTTTTCCCAAGAGAACAGCGTCTCGTTGAGGCCGACGTAGACCTTGCCATAGCCGCTGTCACCAACGCCCTTGTTGGCCCGCTGCACCCAGCGCATGGTCACCACCTCTTTAGCGGTGTTGGTGCCGACCCTGATTAGTCGCTGATCTGGGTAGGTGACTATCTGCATGATGTTTCGTGGATATTGATCAGTTTATAGGTATTGATAGAAGAGTAAGGATGAGGTTGTAAGAAAGAGAAACGGCCTGAGGCAGAGGTAGACCTGAAGAAGTCGCGAAATCGCGCTCACGTCGATGTAGGGAGGGGCTGTATCGAAGCCTTCCCGCTGCCGTGTGAGCCTGACTTCTTCCCTTCCGCGCACCGACGTCGTCCTCCCGCTGCGTCGTGGTTTCCCACAACACCAACCATCTACACACCAGACGTCTCCAGCCCCCCGTGAAAGGGTTCCATGGCCAGGAGAGGTAAGCTGTCAAGCTCTCCCTGCCAACGCATAGACAGCAAACACTTCTGGCACAGTCTCCAGGTTGATAAGATCAAGGGCTGCGTATTTGCTGATAAGTTGCCCGAATAAGGATGCCGGTAAGGTCTGGTTGAGCAAGCAGGTCCTGAAAGTGAAGAGGAACGACGCGTGTAAATGAACAGAAGACGTTGCGCTACCCAGTGAGGGCAAGAGCTCCACTTGGAGGCAACTACGAGCGGCGCACACGAGTTCGCGCCTGCTGCTAGCCAGGAGACGACCGCTCCACCAGCAACGCCTCTCCGCTCACTAACCTTCCACCCGCTACCGCCTTCCCAATTCTCTGCCACCGGCTTTGATGCAACGTTTTCGCCGTCTTTCCCCCTAGGGGGGACAAGGTCGAGGAGGAAGATCTGGTGCGTTGAGTCTCTACCCCAAGTCCGTGCCAAACCCCTACACTGAATGTCTATGCTTCTTGAATTCTTTCTTCCATGATAAACACGTTGATACGCGGAAGGAAGGACAGCACGCTCATACGACAGCGGGAAGACTTCAACTCAGCCTCTCTCCTACGCCGACGTGGGCGTAATTCCACGAATTCTTCAAATCTATCTTATCATATGCCCTGCTTGTGTGTGGCTGAACCGAAATTCTACCTCAACCCTTTCAGATGAGCGGTTATGCTATGGTAATGGGCGCATTATGTGTGGGTATTGTGGCAGTGTCAACCATACTTGGTCCCTCGGCAAGGCCTCGCACTTGCTCTATAAAACCCATCGCGCTCCCCTCTTCTAGATCTCTTCCTCACACACTCCAGTCCATCGCATCTCGTCTCACAAACACGCACCAGGTGCTGAAGTAGCCATCATGTACGACGAAGAGAAGGCCATTCCTCTTCTCCCTCTTGTTTCTTCTCCACCATCACCACCATCTACATCCTTGGCAGACATCCACAACTACGGGATCGAAGAGAAAACGAGCACAACGCCCACCATGCCACCCACCTCACCTGTACCGGCAAGCCCTACCCCTCCTGCTACGCCAACATGGACCACCCCAGCCACAGGTGTACGCAGCCAAGAAGCCCAGACTCGCATGCTCTTAGCAGCTCAAGCCGCCGACCACGCAGCCAGGCAAAGGAACGGAGCCATCATGATACACATCATCTGGGCGATCACTGTCATTGTCTCGTTGCCATACGCAGCCCCCCTCCTCGGGACCATCATCATTTTCGTCTTCAAACAGGTCATGGCCGCCTTCGGACTGAGGGTGACGCTGTATTCCGACAACAATGAGCTACATCATACAAGCGGGTAGGAGTGCTGGGGATAGAGTCTACGTTCAGATAGGAAGGGCACTGTTCAGGAAGCTGAGTCTGTTCGAGGTTGAGGATTATTACAACTTGCAGAGTCAGAAGATTACACATTAGCACAAAGCCTAATAACAAACATGGCTGCAAGCCACCAAGATCTTTTCTTCTGTTCACCATCGTGGAGTTTGTTGGTACCACGTATTCTTCCCGGTGCTGCGTCTTCTAATTCATCTCATGTACGAACGTATATGTAGTCCTCCGCCCCCAGTATACCACATCTTGAACTATCATGCGTGTGTGATGTCTCATCCTGCTCTATCTACTAGGTCAATAACGATCACGACTCGCTGTATTGTAAGCACACCGCCGGTCCATGTAGTCGAAGTTCTCGTGATGTAGACGTAACGTAGTAGCCATGGTCCATAGAAACTTGTGTGATATTACTCTCCACCATCCACCGCTTCTCCGCCCAGAAAAACTCCATTCATGCCATACCAAAAACCGAAACTGTACACCATCCAAACATCATCTCATGAAATCCATTACTCATACCACGCCTTTTACAAAAGCTCGCACAGCAAGCCATCCGATTCAACACCCCCTATCCCATCCCACAGCACCGTCACCGCCTACCCCCCCTCTTATTCTTCAACGGACTCTCCCCCTTTCCCAAGGTACAAAACACACAAACAAAAACCCTCGGCAGCCACTCCTCCTTCAACCCCACACATCCCATGTGCAACCACTTAAAGCAAGCCTCACACTGCACCATGAGTGTATCGGCATCATCCACCAACCCATCGCAAACACATCTCGTGCTATCATCACTCTTGCTACTGCATTCCGTCGAGGGTGTGGTTGTAATCGTTGGCGAGCCGTTGAAAGAATTGGAGTAGGGATCGTAAGCGCCGTGCGATTGCAATTGGTGAAATTGGTTGTGCGACTGAGGAAGATGGGACGTGGACATATCGGCCGAGGCCTGCGCCCAGCGTTGATTATGTGCGAGCAGTGTGTTTTGGGATGCACGTTCTGAACTTGTCAGTCGAAGGCATGGGGACAAGGGAAGCGAGATAGCTATGCTAGCGTACCGATGCGTTGTTGGCGGGCGCCGACGACTTTCTTCAGGGCGCCGAGGGCGTCGCCGGGGGAGTCGGGCATGTGTGTGTCTTCGGGGTCTCGTTCGCGGAGGCTGGGGCGCTCTATGGCGCTGGAACGACGGATGGTGTTTTCGGCGGCGGCAGCGGCGGAGCGTCGGGTTGATCGTAGTGTTTCGAAAGAGGTCTTGGAGAGGGCGTCAGATACAAATCTGGAGGCGGAGACGGAGCGCGCCATTTTGAAGGAATTGGCGCGTTCGAGCCCGCCGCTGTCTGCTCGGGCGTGTTTCGTCGCTCGACGTTCGGGTTGGGGTATGACGAAGGATGGGTTACGGCTGACGATTGGAGCTGGCTCGTCGTCTTCCGACTCGCTGTCTTGCTCTTCATAGAGTCCTGGGTATTGACGCCGGAGATCTTGCTGTGAAGTCTGCCGTCTATTCTTAGGCGTCTCCTCATCCCCAGTAGGTATCGTCTCTGTACGAGCCGTGCCACTCTCGTCGATGATGAGCCGTGTCCGGGGTCTTCTAATCTCAGGTATCGCTTTCAGTGACCCGCCGCTTTGACGCTTCAATGGCGATGAGCGACGGGGAATTGTTGAAGCATTAGCTGGAATTGCTACCCGAGGATCCATTGCAAGTGTTCTGGCTGTCCTCGGCCCACTGTCTGTATTGCTTCGTTGCAGCACAGGTCTCGCGTTTTCCGCTGAACCCGACGACGAAGCTGTGTTGCTGCGTGAATGCTGACTCTTGGCCTTCTTCGCCATTGCCCTCTCATTTTCTGCATCCCGCAGTTGTGTCTCATACGGTTGTCTTGATATGTCGAGCATGGGCTGCTGCGGCATGCTTCCAAAAGAACCAGTCATGTCGGGATTGGAGAAGCTGAGCAGCATGTTAGGATCGACACCCGCAGCTGTATATACAAAAGAGGCATTTCTTGAGCCGTGTCTCTGCTGTGAGGGTGTATTCGCAAACGACGCTGGCATGGGAGAAGCTTGGAAGCCCTGGAACGCTGGTGTTTGCATCATGTTAGCCGAAGGATGGTTCATCGCTTGCCAATTCATGTCGTGCTGCGGTCTATGCGGGGTAGGACCGAAGGGGTCTACTCCCAGGGGTACATCTAGATCCATTTGCATGCCATCATTCGCCGGGTCCCAGAACAGCTTCGATTGAGGCATGGGTGGCGCAGACATTGGACCGCCGCTGGGGAACTGCATCATATGTGGAGTGTACTGCAGATCGGCGAAGCCAAATGGTGTTTGGTCAAACAGAGCTCCTGAGGACTCCGGCAGCTGGCTGGGCGTCCTGTGCACCACCGTAGCTGGTGTTGCCACCCCATGTCCACTTTGTTGCACACTCCTCCTAGAGGAAGCGTCCCTCGTTGGAGGTGGCGTTTGCATCTGCGAGAAGTCCATGCTGACAGGACGAGAGCCGAACTGTCCCTGTGATCCAACCTTCCTCAGCTGATTAGGGCCCGGCGAGGACGACAGCCTTCGGGACGCGTCGACCGGCGGAAGAGGTAGGTTTTGCGGTGCGAAGTGGTTGACATGGAACTCTGGGTCTTCGGGAGTGCGGACGGGTTGGCTGTACGAGCTCGACGGCCGGCCTATGGGCGTCGAGAGTGTGAAGGAAGGAGTCCGCACCGGGGTGTGCTGCACATTAGGTCGTGGGGTGGCCCAGGCGTCGAGGAAGTGCGAGTGGGGAAACGACTCGGTCTTTGGTGTTTTGAGACTTCCGTCAGGGAACGTCAGCGACTTGGGAGTGGAGGAGGGACTTGGGAGATGCCAGTCCGTCGATCTAGCACGCGACCCACGTTAGCCTGGGGCACTTGCAGATGCGAGCCGAGACATGAGGAAAACCAAAAGTGAGATCTATCAACAGAACGGGAAGGAGCGGGAGGAGTCTAAAGAAAGGTATTCTTGGGATGGCATGGCAAGGGATGATGGCAACGAGCTTCAAGTGACAACCGTGCGGTGCTGCCTGACCTCTGCCTACCCTAGACCTGGATTGGGACATAGTCTGGTCCGACATGACATGAAGCCAAGGACGGCCGGAGGTATTCAGATGAAGCTCGTTGCACCAGCCGAACGCTACACGTCTTCCGCCACATGGGAAGGTAGAAGAGAGCCGTACCCATATATGTGCTGATCCAAAGTCATAGCAAGCCCAATGACACAAAGCCCTGACACAATGTCCTTCCTTCCCGACCATGTAGCGAGCAATATACGACGTTGTCGGGTCGAGGGGCGTTCAGCGGGGTTGGGTCGACGGCGGGTGGTGAAGACAAAGGCGCCCTGGGTGGACTTCTTTGTTGACGGCGGGATGTTCTCGCAAACGCAGGCAGCTAGACGAGAAGCTGTGAGACCTGTTGGGTAGTACACTTGAGTAGCAGCAGGGGATATGACAGCGTTGTGAGACGTCGTCGAAGCAGGTATCGAGCGAAGGCGTCAGCACAGCGTCGTGGTTGTGAAGAGGCACCTGTTGCTTGCTTTGGGTGACCAGACACGGCGAAGGTTTCTCACGTACTAGGCAGCGCAGTGGGGCCGGGGAAGCTGAAGCTGCAGTTGCAAAAGGCTGTAGTTCGGCAAAGACGAAGAATTGATAGTCCCGATCGTGACCCGCAGCTGGCAGCAGCAGCAGCAGCAGCAGCAGCAGCAAGCACTCCGCAACACTGGCAGCACCGCCTGAGCAGCACCCGGAATGCGGCTTAGGCCAAGTCTCCTGAGGGCTAGGAGGCGTCTAGCTCAGGTACCGAGCCCGCAGGTGCATGGGCCGGCGAGGGCGATATAGCGAGGCTGTCATAATTGGGTGGGCGTGGCAGGGAGGAAGCATGGAAGAGAGGCTCTTTGTCGTCGCCGCAGCCAGCCAGCACGCACAGCCAGCCAGGCGAAGGAAGCCGAAGCTTCACCCAACCGCAGCCATGCGCCTAGCAGCGAATAGGGCTAAACATAACGATGAGCTAAGTCGCGAACGGACACGGAACGAACGACACCATGGCTTGGGTGATGCGTGCCGTAAGGATGAGATGGTTAGAAATGACAGGTCAACGAGGTCAATGCCTAGATGCCGACGCTAATCCACCTGGCCCATCCACAGCGCCCACCCAACCAGGACTGTCTATCATCATAAACCTCCTGAACAAGCGTACAACAGCTACCATCTACAACATACTAGCATCCATCCCTCCATCTCCATTCCATCAATCATGCAGCCTGACTATGCACTCCTGAATCCTTCCATCTCCACAGCCATTCCGGAATGTCTCCGCGCCGCATGCCGTAAATAAGCAACCAAGAGAAAAAGAGCGACTGCCAGCTGGCAAATGATTAATCTAGCCGTCATCATGCCAGGAATTCCCATTAACCAGGATAAAAGCTACCCGCTCCCGGCGAATCATGGCCCGAGGGACGTCTAGATTTTGCAATCCTGCTGCGATAGGCATGGCAGCGGAGAAATGGGCCACGATAGCACTTGCCGCATTGGAGATAGTTTCACTTTTGGCCCCAAGATGGAGGATTGCAACATGCATGAATATTAGGAGATGGCTAATTACCGTTTTGATCATCCGTCTGCTTGATAGATGTAGATCTACATTCCAATGCAAAATACTCACTTCCAGCATGGATCGCGGGGTAGGTGAGTATCCCACCTCGTATCTCAACACCCGCCTGCCGCTGCGGTTAACATATGAGCTGGACTTTTCGATAGCCGTTCACCCTAGCGCACAACCGCCGCATCCGTTCATGCAAGGTACCAATTGTTATTTCGAACCGTTCGTCCCATTCATCCAGTCTAAAATCCCCCCTTCAGCCCTGGAGCTCTCCCTCTCCGCCAATCCCTCGCATCAATTGATACGATTGGTGAAGGACCCTCGATACTACTATAGCGTTCCCAAGAAAACCATTGCGCGAACCA